GCGCTCGGTTAACGGCACCTGCCAATAACCTTTCAAAAGGTCTAACTTCGTAATATATTTCGCACCCCCAAGACAATCAATGCAATCTTCCATCCGCGGTAACGGAAAAGCATCAGCCACTGTGATGGAATTTACCTTTCTAAAATCAGTGCAGAAACGTAAAGACCCATCAGCCTTCGGTACCAGAACACACGGTGAGCTCCATGGACTATTACTCGGGACAGCGAAACCATTCTGCAATAAATACTTAACCTCACTTTTCATGGCTTCTCTCAGACTCATTGGGCAACGATAAGCGTGTTGCTTGATCGGTAATGCGCTACCGACCTCAATGTCATGCTGAATGACATTAGTACCCGGAGGAACGTCATTGAACAAACACGGGAAACTGTCCATCAACTTCATTACGTCCTCTCGCTGTTCAGGCGATAGATAGGATAGTTGCTCAGGAAGCAAAGATAAAATCTTAGAGTTTTCAAAACATCCTCCTCCTAAAGCTTCCATGGATACATTCAACCCATCGTCCGCAGTATCGGCAGGCAAAGCATAAGCCAACAATGAAACGCGCTCAGTATTTCCTTTAGTCACCGATTCACTAACCAAATTCTCAGGGTTCTCTTTTGGTTCGACACAAAAAATATGGTTTCAACATGTTTATGTGACATAAACGAGTTTTTCGCCTCCGTTCTGGCGTGTGTAAGATATAATCAGTTTCATTCCACTTACTTTTTATCACGTAAGGACCAGAGAAACGCGCAGAGAGAGAAGATCCAGGAATAGGAAGCAACACCAAAACTTTTTCGCCTGGCAAAAAATTACGCATAACTGCTTTCCTATCAAAATGTTTTTTCATTTTCGTTTGTGACAGAGAAAGTGCTTCCTTCGCCACAGCACAAGCATTGTGCAAACGTTCACGAGTACGTGATACAAAATCAAGGACGTTGGTCTTCACAGACGAACTGTTACCGAGAAATTCTTCCTTTAACATTTTCAAAGGACCACGGACATTATGTCCAAACACAAGCTCTGACGGGCTAAACCCAAGCGAGTCCTGCCGCGCCTCACGTACCGCGAATAACACCAAAGGAACTCCATCATCCCACTCATTCCCAGTCTCTGTACAGTACTTTCTCAGTGCAGATTTTAATGTTTGGTGCCACCTCTCTAAAGCACCTTGCGACTCGGGATGATAGGCGCTTGATACTACGTGAGAAACGCCAAGAGCCTTTAACGAGGCACGGAAGATACGAGACACAAAATTCGAACCCTGATCAGTTTGGACAGTTTTCGGCAAACCGAATGTTGTAAAGAATTTAGTTAAGGCTTTAGTTACTGTCTTAGCCGTTATGTTGCGTAACGGAATGGCTTCTGGGAACCGTGTAGCCGCGCACATGATTGTCAACAAATATTGACAACCAGACTTAGCCCGAGGAAGTGGACCCACACAGTCAACTAGAACGCGCTCGAATGGTTCTCCAACGGCAGGAATAGGACACAGAGGAGCAGGTGGTACAATCTGATTAGGTTTTCCACTAACCTGACAAATGTAACACGTCTTACAGTGTGTCACAACATCAGACTTTAACCCTGGCCAGAAAAAAATGCTGGAGCACCCGGTTATAGGTCTTAGTTATCCCTAGGTGTCCAGACCAAGGATGGTCATGAGCCAGACTTAAAACATGTGATCGAAATTTCGAAGGTACCACAATTTGATGCACCGCATTCCAATCGTCTCGCTGCTCAGAATTTAAAGATCTACTCCATTTACGCATGAGCACATCATCGTTCCAGTAGAACTGGTGATTACGCAGCGACTTTTTGTCATTTTCAACACTCGCACGACATTTTTCTAATGATAAATCATTTCGCTGAGCTTCGATCAGAATTTCACGCGAGATGGGCAAATCAGAGATCAAACTAAGATCAAAGCCATCAGATGCCTTTAAAGTCGTTTTAGTCGAGTCAGGAGAGTCGGGAAGAACATCAGTTTTCAAAATCTGTGAAAAGACAGAATCACAAAGAGTATTACTTTCGTGAATGTCCTGTTTCGCCTGTGCTCGCGTTACAACAGCACTACACACATTCGGCAAATTTTTACCAAGTGCATCAGCCTGCGAATCATTGCATGGGACATCAACAACTTGTACTACCGGCATTACCTTACCTCCAGCTATGTCATTTCCCATGATAAAATCCACACCTTTCACCGGTAAAGAAGGACGAACTGCAACCTCAAAGCACCCAGATGCCAAATCAGAAGAAACATATACTCGATGGAGAGGAACAGGCACAAAACCCATTTCAATACCCTGCACAATCGCACTGGTATTACATGCCGAATCAGCACAAAAACCCAGAATATCTGATAATATAAAGGACTGAGATCCTCCTGTGTCACTCCAATTCTTCACATCCTCCAATTCTTACAGGTTTTCGGCTTTCGACCTTCTCATTTAACGAAACAAATCCATCGAATACGAAAGGCTGAAAACAGCTGTCAGGTGTCACAAGAGAACTGACGGATGATGGAGACACAGTTTTCACTAGTACTGAACCTCGAGGCTGGAAAGATGAATAATCTTGTCGCTCTTGTTTGCGTTTTAAAGTACGACACTCAGCTATAACATGTCCCGTCTTGTGACAATAACTGCACTCTCGATTAAACTTCGGACTGGTTGGAACCCATTTATTTCGTGAGTCGGAAAGATTTTCATTTTCCTTTAATGAGGAACCCCCACAGTCAGACGGACGCTTTGAAAACACAGTTTTATGCATTAATGCGTACTCGTCAGCTAACACGGCAGCCTGTTGTACAGTGCTGACTTTCTGTTCATTTAAATACAACGCAGTACGTTCGGGAACACAGTTCTTAAATTCTTCAATCAGCAAAAGTTCTCGCAAAGAATTATAGTCAGTTACCCTGCACGCCTTGATCCACCGATCAAATAAAATGCCCTTTTCGCGAGCGAACTCGACATACGTTTGAGACATGCCTTTGTTCGTAGTGCGAAATCGTTGTCGATAGTGCTCAGGAACTAATTCATACGCTCGTAATATTGCAGTTTTCACGGCATCGTACTGTACGCTTTCATCTACCGAGAGAGATGCACACACCTCTTGTGCCTTACCTGAGAGTTTACATTGTAACATTAGTGCCCAAACCTCGTTTGGCCATCTTAAGGCAACAGCAATTCGTTCAAAAGCTTGAAAATATGCCTCAACTTCCCTCTCACGGAAGGGTGGAACAATAGATATATTTTTAGCCACATCAAAATGTGTCGAAAACGGCGCTACAGACTCAGATCCCACATCAGACGGCACAGAATTAACACCCGAAGTGGATGTACCAGCAGATGTCTCAGAATTAACCTCCAACCGAGATGTTTTGACGATAGATTTTTTAGGTACCTCTGAAGCAGCCTGCAACTCCAACTCCCGCAATCGCACCTTCATATCAGCGTCAATTCGGTACATTTCAATCTGATGCTTCAAATCATCTTGTCTCGCCTGAGCTTTATCCTGAGTTTCTAACTGTAACCGTGCTAAACGTAGCTTTAAACGGGAATCTGTACGCAAACCTGATGATTCTGCGGACAGCGACAAAGGTTCAAATTTAGGTAGTGAAAAAGACGGACGTACCTCCGCACCAACCCCGATCACTGGAGTAACTGGAACACCACTCGTTACACGTAAGGGCGGACTTCCTGCAGCTGGTATCGCCAACTCCGCTGCTGCAGTAGGAACAGCCTCAATAGAAGAAAATACCCCTTTATTAATCAGACTAGTCACTAAACAAGCTTTCAACTCTTCCTTACGAAGTGTTCTAGAGATAGAAATCTCATAATGTTGAGCAATAAGAAACAAATCATTTTTTCGACATGTCTCTAAAGCTTCAACACTAGGTTGATCTAAAAATTGACTGAGCTCAAACGTTGCCATCTTTATAAAAAAAACGAAAAGAAAAACACGCAAAAGCAATCAGGATAATCCAACACCCTCTGGACCTACCTACCTAGCCATTAATCTAAATAATACCCTACCTAGTCTTCAGAGGGTACCGATTAAGAGATCGCTCTCTCCCCCGGAATACCTCCAAAAACAACAAACTAAAATAATAAAGCAAAACAATAAACAGTAAACCGTCGTCAGAACTGGCGCTAAGCACAGCCCTGCTGGCTTACTCTAACTAACCAGAGGATATTGGTCACCTGAATTAAATTAGATCAATCAAATTGCCACTACTCAAACACATATCTTGGACGAGCCCCCAATTATGTTACGAACCCTGTTGTTAAGAATGCTCGTTTTGTAAGGGTTCAATAACATAAAAGGAGACGCAAGGCAAAAAGCAGTTTAAGACATTTATTTATACTAATAAATGACTGCACAATCTCACGTCTCTCATGTTCTCACTCTTCCCACAGAAAACTCACATTTTCTCTACCCTAGACATACCAAACACTAACAAAATAAAACAGAATAGTGGCACAATACAAAGAACACAGGCTTGAGTTGAAGCTGATCGGATGTTAAGATGGTCATGACGCGCACGGAGTTTCACCGCTGCGTGTCTCACACTCCTGCACACACCGCTTATATGCTCAGCACGAGCCATCAGAGCAACGAACCACAGGTGCGCAAGGGAGGAGCCTACACTTAAGAAGAGACATTAATTAGATTACAAGACAAACATACACACACAAATACATAGGCAACACCCATAAGGCTGAGGCCGTAACAATGGGGGTGAGTAATTAATGACTTAATTTTCATTTTTGGGTGAACTAACCCTTTAACTGTTTTTTAATCAAATAAATACAGTATAAATTAGCAGGATAATGTATTTCTGGTTGTGATTTATTTTCAATGCACTTTCATCTGACTGTAGCTGAAGTCGACATGCTGCCTTACGCTTCGAGTGTGGAGATCCTCAAGCCGCTGTGGCGTGACATGACGCCAGACACGTGTCAGACCTAATGCATATCTTCACGCTCTTGCAGGAGGTTCCGGCTGTCCGAACACCAGCGCTTTACAGGAGGTGCGGAACTGTAATGAGCATCCCTGCATCGTGTATCACTGGCAGACGGGCCCCTGGGGACAGTGTGTGGAGGACACCACCACATCCGCTCTCAATACCTCCTCCAGCGCAGACAAATCCACCTGCACCATGGGCGTGCAAACACGCAAGATCATCTGCGTGAAAGTCAACGTCGGACAGGTGCCACCCAAAAAGTATGTTTTTAAAAGAGTCATATTGCTTGTCTTTTCTGAAAAATATTGTATGTAAATAGCATTTCATACGATTGGCTCACTTGTTTGCTGTTGGGTGCAGTATAGTTGGCATTGCAACATCCTTCAACAACTTCCTTTTTGCAAATGATTTGTTATAACTGACAGGCTAAGTTTCAGAGCCTCATCAAGCCTGCATTTATTTGATTAAAAATACAAAAAAAAAAAACTTTAATATTGTGAAATATTTCTTTTTATATTTTTCGAGTTTTCATCAGCCATTACTCCAGTATTCAGTGTCACATGATCCTTCAGAAATTTTAATATATGCTAATCTATTGTCCTTCATTTTCATTGTTTTTTTATGATACATCTCCTTTCAAAATCCCATTATTATAATGTATCTAGACATTTTACTTTTCTTTTTAAAAATTTTCATCATTCTCAATTGTGATTCTCATAGCTCTAATATTATATTTAAGCTCAAAGATGGTTTATGTTTGAGTGGCATGTTGTAATTTCTCTACAGAAGTCTGCATGCTCACAAACCCTATCATTCCTCTGCAGGCAAAACGAGGCTGCGGAAAGCTGAATAAACATGGTCACAAACAGGCTAATTAGCACAGTCATTTTCAGGCTGCCTAATTTCCTATTGATGATAATAGCAGTAATTAAGAGGGCTTGATTCTTTAATGCAATTTAATCACCACTAGATGAGGGGCCTCTTGAGGCTTAGCACAAACAAACCACCTAAAAATACATCATTGATCCACTTAGACAATGTCCTTCTGACAGTCCGTTGTGGAAACAATAAATAGCACTGGCTTTTTGGCAAAGACAAATTGGAGCTTAGCTATAATAGAGAATTTTACACTTGCTTTTAACCACTTAAAGGAGGTTTTAACAGTCTGTGTTTTAGTCTAGACTGCATGGGTTGAAAATTGCAATATGATGTAGTGTTGAATTTTAGGATTGCAAAAAAAATAATAATAATCAAACATTCCAGCCGTTTTTCGATGTTCAGAAAGGGGTAGAAATTGCATTTGTTCTCTTTATGTGATTATATTGTGAAAAATGTCATCAGATTATAGTCATGTGGTTGGACCTGCAGTTGAAAAAGAGAGATTCAGAGGTGGAGTTGCTACATTTTGATGAAAGATTTATGATGATAAGCATGTGCTTGGAATAGTGTGTAGTATAATGATGAATTATTATGAAATTAGGGATCCACCGATATGAAAATTTTGATCGATACCGATAAACAATAACTCTTCATATTTGAAAGCCGATAACCAATATATTGGATGTATCTAAATTCAAAATTGTATATATACAAAAGTTCTCACCATTAAAAGCCTATAATGTCATAATTTTATGTAGCCTATATGACATACTTGCACTGCACATATTGCACTTAACTGTAAACTCACCTAAAGGATTATAAGGAACACCATACTAATACTGTGTTTGACCATAATACTGGCCATTTTAGTACAGTGAACTCATTGACATGTTCAAGAAACCATTTTAAAAGGAATTCGAGCTTTGTGACATGATGCTTTATCCTGCTGGAAGTAGCCATCAGAGGATGGGGACATGGTGGCCATAAAGGGATGGACAGGTCAGAAACAATGCTCATGTAGGCCGTGGCATTTAAGCGATGCCTAATTGGCACTAAGGGGCCTAAAGTGTGCCAAGAAAACATCCCCCACACCATTACACCACCACCACCAGCCTGCACAGTGGTAACAAGGCATGATGGATCCATGTTCTCATTCTGTTTACGCCAAATTCTGACTCTACCATCTGAATGTCTCAACAGAAATTGACAACATTTTTCCAGTCAATTTTGGTGAGCTCTTGCAAATTGTAGCCTCTTTTTCCTATTTGTAGTGGAGATGAGTTGTATCCGGTGGGGTCAGTGAATTCAAACGTGGAAGCGTTTCCTCACTACTAAATAAACCACAGTCAACTATTTGTGGCATTTAACAAAGTTGAAGCACTTGGGAACAACAGAAACTCAGCCACGAAGTGGTAGGCCATGTAAATTCACAGAGCAGGGTCAGAGGCACAGTGCGAAGAAGTCAATAGCTATAGTCCTTAAAACTTTGTGTGGCCTTCAGATTAGCTCAACAACAGAGCATAGAGAGCTAGTGGATTAGGTTTCCATGGTCGAGCTGCTTCATCACCAAGTGCAATGCAAAGCATCAGATGCAGTGGTGTAAAGCACTGGACTCTAGAGCAGTGGAGACTGGAGTGACGAATCACACTTCTCTGTCTGGAAATCCGATGGACAAGTCTGAGTTAGGCGGTTGCCAGGATAACGGTACTTGCCTGACTGTAAAGTTTGGTGGAGGGGGGATTATGGATTATGGGGTGTGGTTGTTTTTCAGGGCTTGGGCTTGATCCCTTAGTTCCAGTGAAAGAAACTCTTTATGCTTCAGCATACCAAGACATTAACTTTTGGACAATTTCATGCTCTCAACTTTGTGGGAACAGTTTGGGGACAGCCTATTCCTGTTCCAACATGACTGCGCACCAGTGCACAAAGCAAGGTCTATAAAGGCATGGACGAGCGAGACATGGAGACTGCGAGCCAGGTCTTCTCATCCAACATCACAAATGCGCTTTCTAGAAGAATGGTCAATAATTCCCATAAACACACTCCTAAACCTTGTGGAAAGCCTTCCCAGAAGAGTTATTATAGCTGCAAAGGGTGGGCCAACTCTGTATAGACCCCTTTTCAGTTGGTAAACATGGTGACGTTTTTTTGTGAGCGGAGCTTAGGTGGAGGCAGAACGATCCCTCTGGCCGCTTCACTAATAGTTAGCAAGGATTGTTAGCTTGTTTTTTAACAATGACTGGAGAAAATCTGATATTATCTTCATGTGTAAGGTCACTCCGTGTCCAGGACCGCGATTGTTATTTCCAAAAAACAGATTGGCCGACCTGTAGCCGCCTACATGCTCACTCGGTGCATGGACGATCTGACAGGATTAACGTAAGTTACGTTAAGTTACCTCGGTTGAGTGGCCTGACTTCTACCCCTACCTTATAGAGAAACCGATTGTAAATAGAAACTGAGGGCATATAAATCTTTAGATACCTATATGGTCCTGTACAAGACTTGTGTGTACGATCCGCAGTTCTGCCGAGTCAGCGCCGAGACCACGACAATGTAAAGAGTGACATTACAGTGCGATTTTAACGATGTGAATATTTTCTAGAAATAATAGTTCCAGATACAGCATATTCATTTTTCATCAATTCTTGCACCAAACAACACAACGAGATGACATTTAATAATAGTAACAATTATTTAAGCTCCTTATTATGTAGCCGAATCTGTGCTGTTTTGTATTGGCCGCCTCCAGTTTTCACTTTGTTTTGCCTCCAGCTAGCGCCGTGACGTAACTGTGACGTCAGCGCAAAAGGGGTCTATTAAACCCTACGGATTAAGAATGGGATGTCATTAAAGTTCATGTGCATATAAAACTTTTGGCATAGTGTATATCGACCTTATATCGACATTTATATGCAGTTGTCAGTTGGTGTCTACGTGGCTTTTGAGGGATTTGATGTATGTGACCCATAACAAAATCAAAATTCACATCCTCACTCAGACCTGCATATCATTTTGAATATCTCGCCTAGACTTGATTGCAGCAAATCATAAATGCGCTGCCCAGGTCTGAGGCAGGAAGAGCTCACGCAGGTTTTCCTTCTCTGAGCCACTTTGTGTCACTCACAGTGTCAGACTGAGAGAAAACTCACAATCACACTGACAGCGGTGTTAAAGCTCAGGGCCCGGACCTTTGATGCGCCTCACAGAAACTGACAACTTTCATCTCTTGCTCTGACTGTGTTAGGTGTTTTAATAGGCTTTTTAAGAAACTTATCGAAACAAACACTGTGTCATGACTGATTGGTACAAGACTGCATCATTTTCACACACTATTCAACATGAGAGCTTTGGTTTCTATCAGATGCATTTTTGTTCTTTTAGCAGCAGTGAGATGAGATGTTGCATGTTTATCAAAGTACCTTTCATTTGGAAAAGAATCTGATTCTTTGTGTATCAGATTTGGAATCTGATCTAAAATAACTGTCGTACACATTGTGTATCGCAACTGTTCAGATCCGATTTGTGTGTCCACTCCACGCCAATCTTTTGTTTTCCGAAATATCTGCATTGGTTTTTATGGCAATGACGTTGCGTTGGTTGCCAGACGCTGACAACAACCGCAACATTTAGGGGCTTGCAATACAGTTGTTGTCTTATTTACAACATATCAATGTGTAGCCAACTTATTAGTCGGCGGTCTGGTATGAGCGGCTTTATTCCGTGCTGTCGTCTCCGCCGGTTTCAAAACATGTCTCTGTTATATTCTAATGTTCTGCTTGTATGTCACTTTGCAACAACACAACCTTGTTTCTGCAGCGACTTTCAGCCTATTTTCTATGACAACGTCTGATAAAACGTCTCATAAATCACTCGAAATCCGATCAGAGCAGTCAAGATTTCCAGAAATGTTGCGGATTTCAAACCGCATAGGAATGTAGCTTGAAACGGATTTGTAAAAAATTGCATTTCATGTGATTTTTATTTTTTTTACCGTTCACACTTGGTAAATCTAATTTCAATCCGATATACACAAAAATCGGATTTGGACTGACGGTCTGAACGTAGCCATAGGGCTTTACAGCCCATTCTCATCCCATGGCGTCATATACGATGCTTTTGCCAAAGCGTAGACATCCAACGCACATGGCACCCTTTAACGTCAATATGAGACGCAGATATATATGAGGCAGACGGTGCCTCCTAGTGGTCTAACCCTAACCCTACACCAGACCTAAACCTACCCATACTCTGTGCGTGTTAAATTGACGCTAAAAGGTGCCATGTGCGTTGGATGTCTCCGCTTTGGCAAAAGCATTGTATATGACGCCTTGGGATGAGAATGCGTTGGGCTTTAATACACATGGTAATTAACTGGAACAGAAACAGGTGTGCAACCAATCAGAAACCATGGAAACAAACAAGCTCAGGCAAGCTCTTTTTTTATTTTTTATTTTTGTTACATGTAAATAAAGCTGAAATTTAATTTAAATATTAGATGGGAAACAAACAAAAATTTGAAATGTTGCCCCGGCAACTAACTGAAATAAGCTTAAGTTACTAAAACAATAAAATAAAAAAAATCGGGATATATAAAAATAATATAAAAAATATAAAAATAACAAAAATTAACTAGAAAACTGAGTTAATTCAAAACTATAATAAATACTATATAATAATAGTATAAAAATTATGCTAACACTAAAATGAGCAAATGCATTAAGTGGATCCGCTTGAAAATGTATGTCATTTGAGCTGAAGATGTTACATTAATTATATCTTTGTTGTAAAAAATATTTCTGATTTGGTGATATAATTTTAATATTTAGTTTATTTCCTTATTTAGTAGAAGAAGTTTACATGACTTTGGACTGGATGTTCTACACTTCTTGTCAGGTCAGAAATGTTGTTGTACTTTAAAGGAATATCCCATTAATTATACGTGATTAACAGTGTGGAAACAGTGTTACAATAGTTTCTCCAGAAACTCTAATGAGCTACTTCAGGGAAACCTTCAAGGAAATGTGATCCCTCACTTCACTGTTCACGCTGCCGGTTATGACGGTTAATCCTAATTGAAAAATAATGACGACTTAGAGAGGACAAGGGAGCGATGAATTTGTTCTTCCTCACAGTTAAATGTATGAACTATTTTTTAACGATGCTATTGGAACATTACCAAGTTCCAGTTTAATCCTTTCTCTTCGCAACAATAAGAAAACAGTCATTTTCATATACGATATTGCAGTTTAACCGTTTAAACTCTTAACTAATTGTAGCAGATAAGAATAGCCATTTTAGCCGTCAATATAGTGGAGTATGAGCATTGCCTCTCTTGAAATGTTTCTAATGCTCTGTCAGAAATTTACCCAATCTCCAGGAGAGCCCTGCACACCCAAACCAGATTTGTTTCCCTGGCAGGATTTACCGCTTCTGCTATTGGTATTACGAATAAATCGGCCTTATATATCTGTTTTTTTTATTATATTGTGGCAGCTTTGCAACCCTCATGAAACATGGAGCACATGGCGACTCCCTTCACAGTGGAGGATTTGATCAAAGATCAGATTACTGAATGCCCCTCTGCTGGACTGTTGCATCCCTGTTTATCTTTATCCAGGGGAATTCGACCGAGCCGGAGCAGTGCTTAAAATACAGAAGCAGATTAAAAGCTGTAACAGTGATAAAGGAAGAGTATTACCCAGTGACTGACTACTGTAACAGGATGTGAGGCCTTATCTGCCTCGTCTGGCTGGTACATAATGCAACCGAGGAGCAGGGAAAATAAGATTGGAAAAAAAAGAGGCATTGTTGTGCTACAGATGCTGCTGAACCTTGCTCAACAAGGATTCTGATGTAATCCATTGTATGGAGTAAGGCTGGGCAATATAGCTAAAACCAATAAAGCTAAAATAAAGCTGTTTTTCTGCCTTTTGATGATATATACATTATATCTTAATCTACAGAATCGAATGCATTTGCTTTGCTTAAAGGGAAAGTTCACCCTGAAATTAATAACATTATCAAGATATTTTGAAAAATGTCTGTTTTTGATTATTTGTCCATGGGGTCCAATCTTGTTTGAATCCCAATGTTGTTTAAAATATCTTCTTTTTTGAAGAAGAAAGTTGTTCATACGGGTTTGGATCGAACCCATAAGGTGTTAATTTTAAAGTCAAATTATTTCAGACTGTGTATAGTAATGCAAGATGTAAAATACTGTAAAAATCAAGTTCCCACATTTAAAAAAAAAATTACTTTGTATATTTTTACTGGACAGTAATACATAAATAAATACCACGTAGAGACTAAATAGGAGTTTTGAATTGATTCCATTTGAGCTGAAAAAAAAAATCTGAAAAAAATACACACAAAAAAATCCAAAAACTGTTGCTCATTTCACATGCGAAGTGTGTTCTCGGAAATCTTACAGGCACAGCAGTATAAATTGCCTGCTTTATTTGAAGGGTCAGAGAGAGTAGAAAATGCTGATAAAGCCTTGACTAAAACAGTCAATGATACTCAGAGGAAAAATAAAATGCTTCAAAAGTGTAGAAAACATCCTATGTAAGACTTCTTTTTTGTGTATTCCTGGGCTCTAGTTATCCACCTGCTTTCTGTGATCAAATAACATGCGAGTAGGGTTGGGTATCTTTTGAATTTGAACGATTCTGATTCCGATTCTGATTCCTTGTTTCGATTCCGGTTCCTAACGATTCTCAATTCCGATTCTTTTAAGAGGCAGGGTCAAAAAAGTTTAGCTAACCTTGCTAACCAACGGTCTTGCTGAAGGAAATACTCCTACTGTCACAAATACTTGTCACAAATTTTGCATTTTGCCGAGATTTCGTTATTTTTAGAAAAGTGAAGCCACACTTTGGACCGCCGACGTAAGCTACTCATGTTCGACTCGCGCGGTAATGCCAACACTTCCGGTAGACGCTTCTTCGTTGGTGTTGTTCAGCGGTTTCTTCTTCCGCTCGGCGGACTGTGAATATCGAAACTAGGAATCGAAATTTTAACTTTTGAATGATTCCGGGAAAAACGAAAAGTTAGTCCCGGTTCCAATCGATACTCGATTCTCGATACCCAACCCTACATGCGAGTCACATTTTCTTGCACTGAGAGTTTGTCTGTTTGTTGTCTTAGATGTCCTGAAGCCCCTCGGCCGGTGTCAGTCCGACCCTGTCTGCTGCCCTGTAAGAGAGACTGTATAGTGACACCCTTCAGTGACTGGACTGAGTGTCCCACATCCTGTGAACCAGGTACTCTATTGTTTTATTTATCTGTCTGTCTGTCATTATATTATATCTGTCTTTCTGTCCACTCTCCATCTGTCTGTCTCTGTCTATTGTTTTGTCATTCTATCTGTCTATCTGTCTGTCTGTCTATCTCTGTCATTCTATCTGTTTGTCTGTCTGTCTATCTATCTATCTATCTATCTATCTATCTATCTATCTATCTATCTATCTATCTATCTATTGTTTTGTCATTCTATCTGTCTATCTATCTATCTATCAATCAATCAATCTATCTATCTATCTATCTATCTATCTATCTATCTATCTATCTATCTATCTATCTATCTATCTATCTATCTATCTATCTATCGTTTGTCATTCTATCTGTTTGTCTGTCTGTCTGTCTATCTATCTATCTATCTATCTATCTATCTATCTATCTATCTGTCTATCTATCTGTCTATCTGTCTGTCTGTCTGTCTATTTATCTGTTTGTCATTCTGTCATATATCTGTCTGTCTGTCCACTCTCCATCTGTCTGTCTCTGTCTATTGTTTTGTAATTCTGTCTGTGTGTCTGTCTGTCTATCTCTGTCATTCTATCTATCTATCCATCTATCCGTCTATCTGTCTCTCTGTCTCTCTGTCTGTCTGTCTGTCTGTCTGTCCACTCTCCATCTGCCTGTCTCTGACTATCGTTTTGTCATTCTATCTGTCTGTCTGTCTGTCTGTTTGTTTGTTTGTTTGTTTGTTTGTTTGTCTGTTATTTTTTTTCTGTCGCACTGTCTACCTTTCTGTCTCTCTCATCAGGTCTGATTGGGCAGAATAATAAACAGTTTCGCTATCGAGTGGTCATCCAGATGCCAGCTAATGGAGGTCAGGAGTGTCCGGACACCCTTTATGAAGAGAAAGACTGTGCGACTCCATCTGTGTGTCCGGGTTACAGGTACCTCTACACTCATCAGTTATTCAGAGATATTTCACATCTATCAATGACATTCAGTATAGATTTCTGCTCAAATTGATCTTCTTGAGTAAATGAAGATATGTACACCTAAAGGAATAGTCTACCCCAAAATAGGGATTCTGTCATTACTTATTCAACCTCTTGTCATTCAAAACCTGGATGCAATTCTTTTTCTCGGTTCTCAAAAGTAAAATGGTTCATTCTGATAAAAAAGTAAAGCTGTTATCAGATTGTGGACTGCTTAATTAAGATAAGTTCATTTTCTAAGGCAATGGGTTTCCTGATATCTTAGTCAGCTAATTATGATTTTCAGTGTGCTAACTGATCAACCTCTGATAATTATAATGATATCACTTTGAATTTGCAGGTGGAAAACGCACAAGTGGCGTAAATGTCAGCTGGTCCCATGGAGCATCCGCAGAGACAGTAAAGGAGCCCAGGAGACCTGTGGAGCTGGAGTCCAGACTAGAGGTTCGTCAGCTGGCGTGTACAACCTCAATCTTTCACCTAATGTTTAGCAACCTGCGTCTTATTCACTAAACGTCCTCAACCGAGAATTGCAGCATGAAAATTTGTGCATATTTAAATAATTCATTTAATCAGATGCTACCTCAGAAAGTATGTGCTTAATTCATTCGTAGTGAATTTCCCCGCAGTGTCCAGTTACTGTGTTTATGTAGCTGTGAAATCTTATGCAATAACCATCATTTTGGTAAATTATCTGATCTAAGATCTTCTCTTGAATCTCTGAATTTGTATTGCTTTCTTTCAGAACGGGCTGATTTCTGAGTTGGTTGCTTTATCAGTTGAAGTCAGCAAAGTATTTTAATTATCATTTTGTTCTCTTCATGCCTTTTTGTTACCTCTTTTAGACATTCCTATCACTCATAAGGCAGTGGAAGACTTTGTTATGAATGATGCTGGTTTAGATGTTGGTCTGACAAAGGCTTCCATCACACTAGACTTCACATTTGCCCTTCAGTGCATGTCAGGAGCGGAAGCAATCCTTCAAACTCTTGATCTGATTGCTCTCGACAGTACGGAAGGGCGTCTTTGTGTGGCCGTCATCACTCTATTGAACTCTGTAGTGCCCCAAAGTTTGACCCAATGGTTCCTGTTTACTCGTCCTCACGTCACTTCCAACGTGACAGTGTGTCTTAATAGATTACACAGCCTCACTGGAATGACAAAAGCTTAACAGGGCTGTCTTTACAAATGTAGTAACTCTCTGATCTGCTCATGTTGGACTCGTTGTATTCTTAATAGTGGGGTATATATTTATATGGACCATATCATTATTGGGTTCTAGCCTTTTATTATTATATTATTTATTCATGTATTTTCTTTTCTCATATTATAATTTTTTTATGTACTGATACTGATTTAATTTTTTTTTTATTAAAAATAAGCTTACTTTTATAGCTGATCATTTCAGTGCTTTACACATTTAAAACTGGAGTGTTTCTTTTTTTTTCATTTATATATCGAATAATACTTACATTAATTTGGCATAAATTTAACATTAGATAAGATAATTATTTATCAGTATTGTCCAAAATATCTATATATGGAATATAAGAGGGGAAATCTATTGAAGTTTTTACACCTAGGAAAAACATCATGGAAATTTCTTTAGTGAATATTAATGTTTTTTTAGTTATGTTTCACTATATAATATTTCAGATATTGTCTTATTGGACACAACACTTGAAAAAACGTTATAATTATTTTTTAAATCATGTATTATAAATTTGTATTATTATATTCAATAAATATTATGTACATGTATTATACATTTTAAATTCTACATTAAATATAAATATTATTAGTAGTGTATCAGTCGATTAAAAAATGAACTAGATTAATCACACATTTTTACTGTAATTTATCTCAAAGTTTTTTTATATATTTTTATAACGTAATAATTTCACAGTTATTCTCCAAATTAATGTAAAAACAATATAAAGACGGTATATTTAAGTACTTGTTTAATAGCATCTTTATGCCATTTATGAATGAAAGCCAGTATAACCAATTCTACCCCCCCCCCCATTTTAAACATTAATTATAGAAATTTTTTTTATTATACTTTTTTTTTTTTAGATTTAATAGGCCTCAAATAAATATTGTAATAAATAATATATAACCGCATAATACATGTTATATTTACCTGTGTCATTCCTACCTGGGAAATATACAGAAATTGAATAAAGTTATCAAGCAGTCTCCACTGCATGAATTGTAAATTAAATAAATATAGATTAATACTTATTAAAGCTATTTAGTCAAGACCAGTGAGTTGTTTTCTTTGTTACCTTAGTTCTTTGATTAACTTAGCGTTATTGGCTGCTGTCACTTTAAGAGCAGCCGCTGCAGAACATGACACGGATCTCACTTCATTCTCACTTCATTCTCTCACAACTTTAATTTAAGACTCACTTAAAACTGCTCCTATGAGGATACTTCATAAAACGGCCAGTTCAGTTGCATAATTGTGTGTGTTATTGTTCGTTCAAACGTCTTTCTGTGCCTCGTTTGCTGCATAGACAAGACATTCACAGACAAGTGCGTTCTCTTTCGTCGTGCTTAAATGATTTAAAAGCATTTGCATAGATAAGATCTTACTAGCGTGATCATATAATGTAACGCTAGCTAAAGAATGACAACAACACTAGTTTTTAGTTATGTTGTGAAATAATTTTTCAGATATTGCTGTACACAAAGTCTTATTGGATCCTAATAAGTATAATTGGGGAATAACAGGGGGAAAATTATTGAACTATATCAAAACTACAGAAATATAATGCATAATTTAAACTGGTTTCTCATCAAAGTGAACCGCATGTCTCTCACTCTCTCTCTCTCTCTCTCTGTGTTCTATAAATAAGCATCTTCTGTTCACCTGCACCTTTTCTCTCTGTCTGGTGCTGTGCCACTTCCTCTCTGTAATCAGCAGGAGTCTCACCGCTGTGTGTGTGTGTGTGTGTGTGTGATCTGCAGCTATCTCATGTCGGCAGCTGGATGGGACAGTGGCTGATGTTGTTCAGTGTCTGAAGTTTGCCAGCATTATGCCTGTTACGAGCCAGCCCTGCCTGTTACCGTGCAGAGACGACTGCCAGCTCACCAACTGGTCCAAGTTCTCTCCTTGCAGCTCGGACTGTGTAGGGGTTCGTACGCGGAGGAGAGCTCTCGTGGGTAATTAGGACATATGCATCATTAACACTGTGGTTTGAACTCAGGAGGTTGCTGGTTCCATCCCTGCAAGCAGTGAGGTATATGTACCATTAGTTTCCATGAGCGAATCACTGAACCAAAGATAGCCTAAAGAGATACTCCACTTTTTTTGGAAATAGGCTCATTTTACAACTCCCCCAGAGTTAAACTGTTGAGTTTTATTGTTATTGAATCCATTCAGCCGATCTCCGGTTCTGGCGGTACCACTTTTAGCATAGCTTAGCATACATCATTGAAGTCGACTGACAAGACCATTAGCATTTCTCAACAAAAAAAAAAAATGACCAAAGAGTTTTGACTCTTCTGTAGTTACATCGTGCACTTAGACCGACGGAAAATGTAAAGTTGTGATTTTCTAGGCTGATATGGCTAGGAACTATACTATACACCTGAAAATAGTCCCCAGCTCGGTAACTTCCAACGTGATCGGACTAAGTTTGTGTAGTTATGTTCATATATAATATCTATGGTCATGTTGATGGAAGGTAGCCTATTTTCAGGCAAAATATCAAAACACTTTGGTCATTTTTTATTTATTTTTTTGAGAAATGCTAATGCTATGCTAAAAGTGGTACCGCTAGAACCGGAGATTGGCTGAATGGATTCAAAAACGGTAAAAAAACTTTCCAACAAATGTGAAGTATCCCTTTAAATGCTAAATGACTTCTAGCACAAGGGTTTATGGAATGATATAATTTACTATGGTGCCAAAAAAAGACAATATACAATATTTTACAATAGTCAGAATATCTTGATTTATGTTAAAAAATGCACAGTATATATATATATATATATATATATATATATATATATATAGTATATCGGCTTTATATACACATTTAAGATGAAAAATAATTAATTTCTTATATATTACCAGAAAAAAACTCACAAATACATCAGGGATATTGGATATATCACCCTTTTGTTGTACTGTGTATTAACAGCACCGTATGCTTTAGCTTCATATCATGTCCAAAAATAGTAATACCATTGTGTAGGGCTGTCAAACGATTAATCGCGATTAATCACATCCAAAATAAAAGTTTGTGTTTGCATAATAAATGTGGGTGCACTGTGTATAATTATTTTATATATAGACCATTTCACAAAATGTAAACAAGACTGGTCCAGAAACACTTCCTGTTTCAGTTTGTAACTCTTTTCTTTATTTCACATGCAAAGAAAACATCTTAAAGATGTTTGTTTAACTTTTTGATTAAGTTTTAAATGTTCTGTCGGTTGTATTTTATCCCAGCTTTTATGTAGTGTTAAAAAACTGAAACAGGAAGTGCTTCTGGACCAGTGTTGTTTACATCTTGTGAAATGGTCTATATAAATACACACACATGCTTGTATATATTTAAGAAATAGTTTCATATATACTGTATACTGTTGTATATAGATTTATATATAATTTATATTATATATAAATATAAATATTTTACATATAAGTAACATTTTTTTTCTTAAATATACATGCATGTGTGTGTATTTATATATATATATATATATATATATATATATATACACACACAATAATTATACACAGTGCACCCACATATATTATGTAAACACAAACTTTTATTTTGAATGCGATTAATCGTTTGACAGCCTTACCATTGTGCTTTTTGTTAGAAAGCAGCAGCGAGACTCTGAGTCTGGCTTATAGAGTTGACCTCAATGTTCATGACTCATTCATTAGCGAGCTTAATTAATACCGTAATCAACACTTAATTGCTCTGATTACAGGAAAAAGCAAGAAGAAGGATAAGTGTAAGAACAGCCAGATGTACCCGCTGAGCGAGACTCAGTACTGCCCCTGTGACAAATACAACGCTCAGCCTGTGGGTAACTGGTCGGACTGCATCCTGCCCGAGGGCCGAGTGGAGAGCGCTCTGGTCATGAAGGTACAGGGAGATGTTAAGGAGTGCGGGCAGGGCTACCGGTACCAGGCCATGGTGTGCTACGACCAGGATAACAGGCTTGTGGAGACTTCACGCTGTAACAGTCATGGTAAGAAGTTCATACTGTAGAGCTGCTGACGTCATGACAAGCATTAGGGCGTAATTATAGTTAGCCGACCTTCGTAGACTGCGCTAAACTAATTTATATTCATTAGCCAAGACAAGCCATGGTAAGAAAAATCCCATCCTGTGTGAAGAAGTGACTCTTAATTCCTTGCAGACTATGTGAATCACACATCCATTTGATCATTTGGTGTTTCATGCTTGTTAATTCGTCATTGTCCGTAACTTCTTCTCTCTGGTGACCTTTCTTCTGCTCTGTCTTTTAACTGATCTCCTCCCTTTGTTAGCGAAGCTTTTGGTGCATTGCTCACTTAATCTTGTTATTTGTATGACGAGCAGGCTGGTCAGAGCGCCAGGCGCTGCTCGATTGGGTTTTCCCTCTGTCCGAGTGTCTGTTTCGCCCGACTGATCTCCAGGTATAAACCTCTGCCCTCATTAAAGACCGTATGCTGTCTGCAGGACTGGCCTAATCAGAGCTGACTTTAACCACTGGCAGATACTCTCGCTTCTGCTGGTAACTTTAGAAGGAAATGTAATATTATACATGGTCTAATTTGAACTCTAGTAATAATGACCCTAATTTTAGTTACTATTAAACAGAAATCATCTACTAAAGAAAATCTGTTGCAATTTATGGTGCTAAATGCTATTTAAATAGTAATGCTTGACTGGGCAAACATCAATAATAAGTTCTGATGATAATGATGAGCAGCCCACAGTTGAAAAACTGTGAAATGAGAGTTGTCAAAATGATAATGTAGCCATGAGCTTAAAATAATCCTGGCAAAAAGCTCAAATGTTGTATTATTCAGTTACTTCCTCTACTTTATTTCCCATGAGTTCAAAGACTTGAGAATTGAACTCCGCAACTGATTTAAGTCAAATTATTTGCCAGAAAACATCACTGCATCACGAACGCCCTCCCGGGGACATTCCCATGGAATCAGATGAAGTTTCAGCACTTCGTGGATCTCCATGTGGCGTCTCTTAAAGCTCCTCGGAGTGGTGATGTCATCAACAAATCCCTCATCATCTTTCAAGATCTTTTTTCCTCAATCCCATTACACTCTCTGTCAAATTCTTTGTTCCAAAACCCAGTGAGCTGCATTTTAAGATATCGCCAAAGGCAGCATCGCATATACTGTATCCTTCACGGAAAAGACAATCCCATAGTGCATTGCGACACAGCCTCGGTGAAAAAAAAATCCAATATGTGGATATAAAATAATGATTGTTGATTCTAAATATAGTGATGCAATTTAGTAAATGCTGACAAATATTGCCGTAATAAAAAGAATGAAATCCAATTAAAAATGGACTCTTTTCCCCAATATGTGTTTGTGCTGTGTGTTTTTATGCTTATTAGAGAAACACATCATGTAGAATTTTCCATCTCCGTTAAGATACTGCAAGCTCAGAAGGTTTTGGAGCCGTTCGCTCTCTCTCTCTCACTGGGTTAATCACTACAGTTCCTCTTGATAGAAGGTCATGTCTTACATGCTGCCTTGGGCTACTACAGAAATCATTAAATACTCTCATATCTCTTCTCCAAAAAGGGCTAAACATAAATGTGTGTTTATTTCTGGATGTTTTTTTCAACACAACGGATACAGCAGAACTGCGTAGTACTTATGGCGCTTTTCCACTGCATAGTACGGTACGGTTCGGCTCAGTACGCTTCGACTCGGCGCGGAACAGTTCGGATCGCTTTGCGTTTCCACCGCAGTAGTACCCCTTCAAAGTGTGTGGGACTGATCGTTATTTGCGCGCGCCTCTACTGCCATGACATCATCTTTAAAGCGCCACGTTTTCAAACCCACAACACAGGAACAATGGAGACTATCGAGGGGATGGTGTTCCTGATTCTCGGTATGTGGTTGTTTTTAACTGCTAGATGGAAAAATGTGTTTAAAATGAGGCTGATGGCAGCAAAACAAAAATACTGATAAAAAAAGTGTCTCGTGTCGCAAATCCAATGACGCTAGTAGTGACGCTGGTAGTGACGATTACGTCTGACCAATCAGTGATCTGCAGTGTTTCACGTCACATTTTAGTACCGGTACGGTACGCTTGGAACCTCAACAGACCAGGTACCATTTAAAGCGTCCCGAAGCGAACCGTACTGTACCGTACCATGCAGTGGAAAAGCACCACAAGTGAGCCGTACCGAACCGAACCGTACCGTACTATGCAGTGGAAAAGCGCCTTATCTTCCTCTCATACACTGCCATTTAAAAGTTTGTAGTTAGGAAGTTTTTAAATGAACACTTAACGAGCAAGGATTTACAGTAAAGAAATATAGAATGTAACAGTGATTTCTATTTCAAATAAACTGTTCTTTTGTACTTTAAAATGATCAGTTTCCACAAAAATATTAAGCAGTGAACTGTGTTCAGTCAAGTCAAGTCACCTTTATTTATAATACAGATTGTATCAAAGCAGCTTTCGCGAGAGAAAATGAACGCGTTAACAGGCTAGCGGGTTACTAGTGTGTTGTACTAACAATAATGGAAGCTAATCTGAAATGTTGGATAAACAACTAGAAATGATGGTTAAAAACACAAAGAAATATGAAGCTAATATGAGGTTTAAATGGAGCGGACAGCCTTGGAGCAAACAAACACATGATTGATTCAGCATTGATGATAATAATCATCAGAAATGTTTCTTGAGCAGCAAATCAGCATATTAGAATGATTTCTGAAGGATCATGTGACTCTGAAAACTGGAGTAATGAGGCTGAAAATTCAGCTTTGACATCTCAGGAATAAATAAATTACATTTTAAAATATATTCACATAGAAAACTGTTATTTTAAATTGTAATAATATTTCACAATATTATTGTTGGGTTTTTTGTTGAGCATAAGAGCCTTCTTTCAAAAACATAAAAAAATATCTTACTTAACCAATCCAAAACTTTTATACAGTCCTGAAATTGATCAGGAATTAAATGTTCATATGTTTTTAACATGAATGTTTAATGTTGCTTCGATGACATTGGCATTTGTAATGATATTTTGATGTTCATGCATTTCCCTTAAAGGGATAGTTCACCCTTAATGAAAATTCTGTCAGTATTTACTCACCCTCATGTTATTCAAACCCCGTAAGACTTTCGTTCATCTTCGTAACACAAATGAAGGTATTTTTTGATTACATGTTTGATTAAATTTGATTAAATAAGGGATCCAGCTCTCAGATTTGATCAAAAATGTCTTAATTTGTGTTCCGAAGATGAACGAAACTCTTACGGGGTTGGAACAACATGAGGGAGAGTAATTACTGACAGAATGTTCGTTTAGGGTGAACTATCCCTTTAACAGCCTGAATTAAAGGACCAGTTCACTTCACCGTTCCACTTATTATTTACTGTCAAGCTCAAAAGCGTAGTTTCTGTCCATGCAATTAAAGCTAGTCCATGCTGTATGATTTGTGTGCTATATTGCATGTGTTCATGAACAGACAGATATGTTTGTTTTTTTTACAGAACTTGAGCTAATCCTTAGAGGTTTCAGAGTAAGAAAACTCTGATGACTCACGGTCCTTTGGTTCGTGTGTGTTACCCAGAGTTGGTACTCGGGATATGGATTGTTTTGAAGGAATGAGGTCACTATGGGCACAAAAGAATAACACGAGGACTGCCATGTTTGGTGGAGGCCAGTGGCGTCCTGCCACCTCTGAACTGGCTGTAGGGACAGAGAGCGTTGCATGTTGGGTCGAGTGGTCAGAGAACAGCCAGTAGAGGCTTGTTTTCTCGTCCTAGAGGGCGTTTACTCTGTGTTAGCAGTGTAACAGGATTGACGTGTCTTAACACTGAGGGGCAGAGGAGAAGGGAAAGCTGTTTTATACAGATGTATTGTGACTGTACAGGGTATTTGGGGTCGCTGCAGTATCTCCACCCTCGGGAACCGAATCTCTTCCTGCCCGTCACGGCCATGTCAAATCCTGGTTAATCTTTGGATGGAGACGAGACTATGAAACTCACCCTTGAACTCTTTGATTAATTGCTTTGATTTTTCAATCTGAGGCCCCTCGAGGTGAATGTTTCACTGCTTGTGTTCGAACTGCTTGATGGTTGCACGAGATGTGGGAAGTTTTGAATGTCATATCGAGATGGGACTTTCAGGTAAATTATGGTCTCGAGAATTTGTGTGAATGTCATGAAACATGCCAGGATAATGCTTGGGTCATTCAAATATGAAACTGTATATAAGAAACTGTTGGCTGTTAGGATCCTTTACAGATCTAAGACTTTTTGCATTGGTTAAATTTGATCCATAACATTAAAAAATATATTATACAAAATAGTTTGTTAAATTTAACGTTTGAACGATTTTATTTAAAAATGTATATATATTTTTAGAAAATATATATATTTTCTAAAAATATATATATATATATTTTTTTTAGATGTTTTTGACAAAATATGAAAATCCAATATGAAAATCAAAAGTTGTAATTTTATATAATATTTTTTTTATTATAATATGAATTGTCTATTCTAAAGACCACTTTTTTCCCCCATTGGATTTTACAGTGATTTTGTGAGATTTTTTTTATAACATTCAGTGTCCTCATTAATTTGTTCTGAATCATTATACTGATTCCATTATTAGCACAGTTGCATGCAGAGTCCAAAAATGAACACTCACCAAGTGCCAAATGCTTGTAAATATTGGTTTTGGCAAGGAATAAAACAAATAAAACTGGCCTGTTGGTTGCTTTAGGAAACAAATACAAGGTTGAAAAACGTCAGTCAGAGTTTTTATTATTTTTTTTTCACATCAAAACAATCAGTGTTAAGCATTTTCAGTGTTGCACACAGCGCACTCAACACCTGAGGGGCAAAATTAAATGATTTTTGAGATAGGTGGCAACTGACAAAATGACCTGTTTGCTGCAAAATAAAACAACTTAAAGGGATAGTTCACCCAAAAACTCGCCCTGATGTCATTCCAAACTTGTAAGACTTTCATTCATCGTATAAAGCAGAAAATTTGGGCTAAACCACTCTCTTCTTCTCTTTGGATTCGTTTTACGATCCCTTTATGAACTTTCTGAAGAGTCAAAGTGGTAGTTGCGTCGCTGTCAATGGAGGGACAGAAACCTCTCAGATTTCATCAAAAGGATCTTCATTTGTGTTCTGAAGAAGAACGAAAGTCAGAAGGGTTTGAGTAATTAATGACAGGATTGACATTTTTAGGTGAACTGTCCCTTTAACCCTGTGCTTAAAGATTCAGCACGTCATGTGAGCTGAGGTTAATAATCTCGGTGTGCGTTGTGCTTTGATATGGTGAGCATATGTTTGACATCATAGCTGTTTGTGAATAACTGGAATGCTGTACGGACCAATCAGCTTCCAGGACCATCCGTTTTATAATGTATTATTTACCACAGAATTTTGGAAGCAGCAATTCCTACATTTGACTTTGTTGTTAGCCAAGTGTTGGCTGCTCTTAAAGGGGTTCTGTGAAGGATATGGTGTTCAGGGACGTGTGTGTGTGTGTGAGAGAGAGAGAGAGGCCTGAAGTATGTACTTGGGAAAGGCTGATCCTCTTGAGCCAAATGAGTAGGCAGTTCACACGGCACGAGCAAACAGCAGTAATAAAATTCAGCATTAGCTGCTAAAACATATTACATTTCTCTGACCCTACAGCCAACTCTCCACAAAAATACAGCATCTCAAAACATGCCTATTTATACCAATTGCTTTTGAACTTTTTATGCACCTCATAATGTTTCTGAAAGGTTCATTTTTAATCAAGGTTTAAACCCCTTCAAAACGGCAGGTTCGAAACTTCTTATTGCCCTGCAGGAAAATCCAGTTAAACCAGCATCTGATGGTAGTTTGTTTTGCATGCTTTCTTGATAGTTAATTATAGTCATCATTAGTTGGGAAGAAAAACTGGAAGAGACCATCTAAATAACATGTAAACATTTTTTTTTTAAATTATATTTACTGAAAGATTTGACCACACATTTTTTTTTCAGGCTATATAGAGGAGGCCTGCATCGTCCCTTGCCCTTCCGATTGTAAACTCAGCGAATGGTCCAACTGGTCGCGCTGCAGTAAATCCTGTGGTAGTGGGGTCAAAGTTCGCTCAAAATGGCTCAGAGAAAAGCCTTACAATGGAGGAAGACCATGCCCAAAACTGGACCACCTTAACCAGGTAAAGTCACTCTTCCTTATGCATGGAGGAAAGAAGTGTGGATATATTACAGTAGATGTTGAAGCATGATATGCACCTATGATATGTCTTATCCAGTGAGTACATGTTTTTTTCTGAGCTAATACACGCAGTATTAACTGAAATGGATCATATAGCACAAATAGTTTGATACAATTACAGTTACAATCTCAATCTTGCAATCAAAAGTTAAAAGTATTGCGTTACTCCCTAAAAAAAGTAACTGTTACTTGTCAGTCAATAATGGGAAAACAAATTAACTTTTTAAAAAGTTATTATAATTAAAATGCATTGCTTGTTATTTGAACTTAAAAGTAATCTGATTACATAACTCGCATTACTTGTAATGCGTTACACCCAGCACTGCTCGCAATTACTGGAGAATTTGGTGTTAGTATTTTGCTAACATAAAGCAATGCTCTACAAATTCAAATATTATGTTCAATAGTACATTTTTACTTGGATTAAGCAATTGTTTTGCTAAATTTGATGTTGAGTGTACTTAAAATCATTTATCTTTTCACCCCATTTTGGATGGATGTTGCTTAGATAGAGTGTGTATTGAAAGGCATTATGGGATTGTAAAAGGACACATGAAGTGCTGCTTTACAATTTGTCCATAAGAAGGTATCTTAGCAGGCAGGCATGCTGATTATTCATCCCTTAAGGCACAGGAACGCACCTGTGATATCTTAAAATACTGCCTACAAAGGCAGATGTCTATGATTTGGAGCATAGTTCAAGAGTTTCCCTCAACTTCTACAATTTTTGGCTCAGTTATACAGTGAAAATGACACGCTTAAGATGCAACGTGAATCTCAAATTATTCAGAAATACTTGTCTTTCATCTGATTTTTTTTTTTTCTTTTGCTGAGATTTGCTAGAAATAGATCACACAACATCAAAGCCTTTTTGAGATGTTTCTCCTGACAAATATACTGTACATTCTTGGATTCTGTTTAATTATCCTTTTATTAATAAACAGATGATCAGGTTGGTTAAAGGTCATGTCGTTTTACATGATCTTCTACATGCACTCAGTCACTGTGAAATCAGAATTGAACCCATTTATTTTCTTAAAAGATATTTCTGGTCTTGCTAACTGTGGTTTGTGTGTAGTTTGGGCAATGCTGTTTCTTAAAGGAGTAGTTCACTTTTAAAAAAACTTTTGCTGATAATTTACTCACCCCCATGTCATCCAAGATGTCCATGTCTTTCTTTCTTCTGTCGAAAAGAAATTAAGGTTTTTGATGTAAACATTCCAGGATTTTTCTCCATATAATGGACTTCAATGGGAACCAAACGGTTCAAGGTCCAAAAGACAGTCTCAGTGCAAACTGCAAACTGTTCAAAGGGCTTTAAACGATTCCAGACGATAAATAAGGGTCTTATCAAGTGAAAAGATCACTCCTTTAAAAATAAGTTTAAGTTTTATAAGCTCAAATGCTCGTCTTGCTCTGTTCTGTGACGCACGTTCGTGACTCTCCTGTTCGAACTCATTCATCAAAATGAACGAATCTTTTTTCGTGTTATTTGGTTCATTTTCGTGTTATTTGGTTTAGTTCAAACGAACGAAATGAACGAATTGACTTGGAAAAAGATTCGTTCATTTTGATGAACGAGTTTGAACAGGAGAGTCACGAACGCGCATCACAGAACAGAGCAAGGCGAGCATTTGAGCTTATAAAACTTAAACTTTGTTATTTGTTTATTAAATGAGCGATCGTTTCACTTGATAAGACCCTTATTCATCGGCTGGAATCGTTTAAAGCCCTTTGAACAGTTTGCAGTTTGCACTGAAACTGTCTTTTGGACCTTGAACCGTTTGGTTCCCATTGAAGTCCATTACATGGAGAAAAATCCTGGAATGTTTTCATCAAAAATCTTAATTTCTTTTCGACTGAAAAAAGAAAGACATGGACATCTTGGATGACTTGGGGGTGAGTAAATTATCAGCAAAAGTTTTTTTTAAAGTGAACTACTCCTTTAAAAAGAACAAATACTGAGCATGATGTCTAATGGTGTTTTGGTCTCTAGATGCAGATGTTCTAATGCCATTTTTCTCTAACTCTCCAATAATGCTGCTTGGCCACAGGCACAGGTAAAAATTTTAAAACTCACATTCCAGAGTTCATTTCAATTTCTCTTATGGATTTTATGTTGTTGTGTTTTTCTGAATGAATAGGGTTCACTTTGGTGTGCAATGTCTATTTTTAATTGATTATTATTCTGACATAATCTGATAAATTCGTATTGTGGTGGGTTATTATATATTTATTTGAAATAATTTATTTAAATTTGATTTTGATTGAATTAATGTGTATTTATTTATTTATTACTTTATTATATTTATTTATTTATTATTTAGTTGGTTAGATTTTTATTATCTTTTAAATGAATAGTCTGGTGTTTTATTTTATTTATTACTTAAATACATTTTAATTGATGTATTTTTGTTTATTCAATTTGATTTGGTTTTTATTTCATTGTGGGGGTTTTTCTAGAATTTTTTATCAAAGAAATCAGGCCTTTAAACTGCCTTTAGACCTCCCAAATTTCTGTAAAAATTGCAATTATCCATATTAATTTAATTTTTATTGAAGGTAAAATAAAACCGCTCAGATAATATTTAGTTTGACCTTGCACTGAACATTTCTTTTTCAAAAAAAAAATTCCTGGTGTTGTATCCGACCTCAGTTATAATAGTTGGATGCGATGAGTTTAGTAGTGTTGATGCTGTTATGAGTGGTTGGTGGGCTCGTGTTTCAGGTCTATGAGGTGGTCCCGTGCGTCAGTGACTGCAGTCAGTATATTTGGGTAGCTGAACCCTGGAGCGTGTGGAAAGTAAGTAACGTGGATCTGAAGGAGAACTGTGGCGAGGGCGTGCAGACCCGAAGAGTCAGGTGAGACGCCGCTTCCTCCTATTATACTGTTACTCCATCCACAATACCCTGATCATACCGAGCTCATCTTTGATGGTCTTACAGGTGTATGTTGAACACAGTGGACGGTCCCAGCGATGGCGTGGAAGACTATCTGTGTGATCCAGAGGAGATGCCACCGGGCACGAGGGAGAGTCGACTGCCCTGCCCGGAGGACTGTGTGCTGTCCGACTGGAGTCCCTGGACCCCATGTGACCTGGTCAGGATTAGCGCTAATCCATTTAAACCCTAGGGTTGCATATAGGCACTGATTTGATCCCTGTAAAATCTCAGTTCTTCATTCACTCAGTAAAAAACCACTAGTAACGTCTCGTTTTTAGAGGAGGTCTCAGCAATGGCTCAAAGTCTGAAAATCGAAAGTCAGAAATCTCAAAATGAACTCAAATATTTCTCAGAACAAATGCTGATGTACAGAGTCATTTTGCTCTTCCTGTATGACAACCAGTGTTATTCAAATATTATTTATATACTATTATAGTATTTATTGATACTTTGAGTTAGCTTTTAATTTTCTATTTTCAGCTTTTAATTTTAGTTTTAGTAATTTTGTTGTGTACTCTTGTCTAGTATCCAAGTTTTTCATCTAATATATATTTATATATATACTGTATATATATATATATATATACACAATATATATTTATATATGTAGATCAAATTTTGTCTCATTTTAATTGAGCATCTGAGACATGTCTAAGTTCATGCCTCGATGAAACATAACTGAGGAATTTCTTAAATATCCTAAAAAACATCTGTGCAATACCCTTCTTGGGTTATGCCAACAGGGATATCATTTTATCCTCGGATTAAATGACCTCCGTGAGAGCCAGCAGACACTGAGGCATTAAAAATCAAAGCAGGTCATTAAGATGCACTTGTTAAACAGTAAATGAACAGCTTGAGGAGAAATATGAGAGATTTATGAGCTCACTAAAGTGAATGAACTGTTTTATCAGCCGTGTTCTGGAAGAGGAGATCGAGAGAGGACGGCGTTTGCCCTGCGTCTGCCTAAAGAAGGAGAGGACTGTCCGGTTAGCATGCAGACCGAGCCCTGCCTCCTGAACCGCAACTGCTTTCACTACAGCTACAACATCACCGGTGAGTGAACGAATTGGGATTCTTCTGAGAAATATTGCAATTGTGGTTTGCTGTGCTTGTTTGTAGTGCGGCGCATTTTGGCCAAAATTATCTATGAATGCAGTATAGCGATACAATAATAAGAATTATTATTATTTATGTTATTTTTACACATAAAATTACTAAAAACTAGTGCTGTCGATTGATTAAAAAATTAACTTAATCATACTTTTTTATGTATAATTAATCGAGATGGTCCTCACTGCAGAACATGAAATCCACGGGGAGGAGTCGGATCCAGATCCAACTCCTCCCACCTTACATATACCTAAACCTACCCAGCTCCACCCCCTTATCCCTAACCCCACCCCTAAACCTACCCAGCTCCACCCTGATCCCTAACCTCACCCCTAAACCTACCCAGCTCCACCCCTTGATCCCTAACCCCACCCCTAAACCTACCCAGCTCCACCCTGATCCCTAACCTCACCCCTAAACCTACCCAGCTCCACCCCTTGATCCCTAACCCCACCCCTAAACCTAGCCAGCTACACCCCTTATCCCTAACCTCACCCCTAAACCTACCCAGCTCCACCCCTTGATCCCTAACCCCACCCTTAAACCTAGCCAGCTCCACCCTGATCCCTAACCTCACCCCTAAACCTACCCAGCTCCACCCCTTGATCCCTAACCCCACCCCTAAACCTAGCCAGCTCCACCCCCTGATCCCTAACCTCACCCCTAAACCTACCCAGCTCCACCCCTTGATCCCTAACCCCACCCTTAAACCTAGCCAGCTCCACCCTGATCCCTAACCTCACCCCTAAACCTACCCAGCTCCACCCCTTGATCCCTAACCCCACCCCTAAACCTAGCCAGCTCCACCCCCTTATCCCTAACCTCACCCCTAAACCTACCCAGCTCCACCCTGATCCCTAACCTCACCCCTAAACCTACCCAGCTCCACCCCTTGATCCCTAACCCCACCCCTACACCTACCAGCTCCACCCCCTGATCCCTAACCCCACCCCTGATCCTACCCAGCTCCACCCCCTTATCCCTAACCCCACCCCTAAACCTACCCAGCTCCACCCTCACCCCTAAACCTACCCAGCTCCACCCCTTGATCCCTAACCCCACCCCTAAACCTACCCAGCTCCACCCCCTTATCCCTAACCCCACCCCTAAACCTACCCAGCTCCACCCTGATCCTTAACCTCACCCCTAAACCTACCCAGCTCCACCCCTTGATCCCTAACCCCACCCCTAAACCTACCCAGCTCCACCCCCTTTCCCTAACCCCACCCCTAAACCTACCCAGCTCCACCCTGATCCCTAACCTCACCCCTAAACCTACCCAGCTCCACCCCTTGATCCCTAACCACACCCCTAAACCTACCCAGCTCCACCCCCTGATCCCTAAACCTACCCAGCTCCACCCCTTGATCCCTAACCCCACCCCTAAACCTAGCCAGCTCCACCCCCTTATCCCTAACCTCACCCCTAAACCTACCCAGCTCCACCCTGATCCCTAACCTCACCCCTAAACCTACCCAGCTCCACCCCTTGATCCCTAACCCCACCCCTACACCTACCCAGCTCCACCCCCTGATCCCTAACCCCACCCCTGATCCTACCCAGCTCCACCCCCTTATCCCTAACCCCACCCCTAAACCTACCCAGCTCCACCCTCACCCCTAAACCTACCCAGCTCCACCCCTTGATCCCTAACCCCACCCCTAAACCTACCCAGCTCCACCCCCTTATCCCTAACCCCACCCCTAAACCTACCCAGCTCCACCCTGATCCTTAACCTCACCCCTAAACCTACCCAGCTCCACCCCTTGATCCCTAACCCCACCCCTAAACCTACCCAGCTCCACCCCCTTTTCCCTAACCCCACCCCTAAACCTACCCAGCTCCACCCTGATCCCTAACCTCACCCCTAAACCTACCCAGCTCCACCCCTTGATCCCTAACCCCACCCCTAAACCTACCCAGCTCCACCCCCTGATCCCTAACCCCACCCCTAAACCTACCCAGCTCCACCCCGATCCCTAACCCCACCCCTAAACCTACCCAGCTCCACCCCCTGATCCCTAACCCCACCCCTGATCCTACCCAACTCTGCCCTTCAGATCTGGGTCTGACTCCGCCCCCTGGATCTTGTGTACTGCAATGAGGTGCTACTGAATTAATCGCACCTAACATTGAAGTTTTTAACATATTTTTATATTGTAATAATTTCACGTTTAATCTCCAAATGAATGTAGAAACAACATGAAGACTATAACCTACATATTAAATATTTGAAGGCCCACATCACCAATACCAACACTGCTATCGATGTCCCAATTAATTTTTTTTTCTCAATTTTAGCCATTAATTATAGGCATTCAGCATTACATTATAATTGAAATCTAAGTATTTTAACATTCATTTAAAAAAAATAAACTTTAAAAAATATAACAACTTTTAATTAAAGGGAACTTTAAAAACAATCTTCACATGCTCAATGCACGTCACATTTAGCGCTGTCCTTCAATATATAATGGCTCAGTTTTTTTCTATTGGCCCAGTCAGACTACCAACTTTGAACCAGCACCCGTTCCGAACCAGTTCTTTTTTGGTGAATCTGAGGTGCTGAAAACACCAGCGGATAATAACAAGTTGCTCACGTGTAAGAACGCAGTGCTGCGCTTGACTCTCAAACACGCAGCGCATATATTTATTTCTTTATTTAAACCACAGCCTTTCTTATTTGTTAATCATACTAAGCCATATTGTGATTTCAGTTTAGCTAGATCATGCCGACACACTTTCTCCTAAGCCTTCATAAAAAAACGCAGAGTCATTTTGGTTGTGCCAATTGTGACATTCATTTTCCACTGAATGCATAATGGATTAACTCATATAGTGTCCTGTTTTTCTCTGAAGTGCATCACAGTCCTGCAATAAAATTATTGTTGACTTTAAAAAATGTCCTGCACTGTGACTGCTAGTCCTTCTAGTCTGGTTATTACCCACAAAGCCACTATTCTCTTATTGATTTGAGTCACATGAATGAGTCATTCAAGAGTTTGGGTCATTACTTGAACTGCTTCCTCCATCTGCTCAGACTTCATTCACAATTGCCCACCTAGAGCGTCAAAGCGAAGCGCTGTGGCAGTTTCAGTTTATAGAGATGAAACCGTGTCCTCAAATCATCCGCTCTGGAGGACACAAGCGACCTCTGACCTCGACATGTGGTTTAATGAGAACCCGCAGGGTGATATCCGTGTGTGTTCCCTTAGACTGGAGCACATGCCAATTAAGTGCCAACGCTGTGTGTGGAATCGGTCTCAAGACGAGGATGCTGGACTGCGTTAGAAGTGATGGCAAATCTGTTGACTTGAAGTACTGTGAAGAGGTTTGTGCATTTGTTTACAGACCGTTTTACCTTCTGTGTTTTCAGGTCCTAGACAATATAACTAGAGCTTGTTTTCCAGATGAAAATAGTGTAAATTAAATGCAGCATCAGCACAGCTTTGCCATTCTCATGACACTCAAAAGTATGTCTGTTATATTTAAATTATGTGTCTGTGTGTGTCAAAGCTGAATTTTCAGCATCATTACTCCAGATTTCAGTGTCACACGATCCTTCAGAAATCATTCTAATATGCTGATTTGCTCCTCAAGAAACATTTCTGATTAGCAATGTTGAAAACAGTTAGATTAAGGTAGTTGTGGAAACATTTATTTGAAATAATAATGTTTTGTAACATTAGAAATGTTTCTACTGTCAATTGATTAATTTACTGCATCCTTGCTGAAGAAAAGTTTTCATTTATTTTAAAAAGACCCCAAACTTTTAAACGATAGTGTATATGATGTTGTGAGGAGCCAATGGAAAAGAAACAAGGTTATTTTGTGCCTTTTTAAATTGTAGGTTAATGTGGAAAGCAATGGCAAAAGATCAGTTAAAATCCGAAAGCTCTGGTCACTTTAATTGGACCCTGTGGGCGATAATTCATATGCACAGGGTATTTAACCCTGTAACCCAGTTTTCAACCAGCCCACTTTGGATCAGGGTTAAAAACTTCTCAAATGGAAAACACAAATGAGATCTGAGACCTCCTTAATATCTCATTTGTTTCTACTTTTAGTTTTAACTAATAGAAACATAGAGTTAAACATAGAGCATGGGCACTTCTGCTTCTCAGACGTGAGGTGACATTTTTTCATGAATGCTAAAGAAACAGTCTGTCTTATTTTCTTCCACAGCTGCGTTTAGAGAAGAAGTGGCAGATGAATGCTTCCTGCACAGTGGAGTGTCCAATCAACTGCCAGCTCTCTGATTGGTCAGTGTGGTCAGACTGTTCCCAGACCTGTGGCCTTGAAGGTAAAGACAAAGAATGGACAAATGCATGACTCTTTACTTCTGCATTAAATGGGTTTTTAATTCATGGCATACAATACCATTCAAAAGTTTGTGGTCGGTTAATTTGATTTTAAAAATACAGTAAAAAACTGTTATATTGTGAAATGTTACAATAATATTCTGTGGTTGTTTAAAAAAGTTTGCGGTCAGTTCATTTGATTGAAAAATACAGTAAAAAAAACTGTTATATTGTGAAATATTACAATAATATTCTGCGGTCAGTTAAAAAAGTTTGCGGTCAGTTAATTTGATTGAAAAATTACAGTAAAAAAACTGTTATATTGTGAAATATTACAATAATATTCTGTGGTCGTTTAAAAAAAGTTTGCGGTAAGTTAATTTGATTGAAAAAATAGAGTAAAAAAATAATATATCGTGAAATATTACAATAATATTCTCCGGTCAGTTAAAAATGTTTGCGTTCAGTTAATTTGATTGAAAAAATACAGTAAAAAACTGTTAAATTGTGAAATATTACAATAATATTCTGCGGTTGTTTAAAAAAGGTTTGCGGTAAGTTAATTTGATTTTTAAAAATACAGTAAAAAAACTGTTATATTGTGAAATATTACAAAAAATATTCTGCGGTCGTTTAAAAAAGGTTTGCGGTAAGTTAATTTGATTTTAAAACTACAGTAAAAAAAACTGTTATATTGTGAAATATTACAATAATATTCTGCGGTCGTTTAAAAAAGGTTTGCGGTCAGTTCATTTGATTTTAAAAATAGAGTAAAAAACTGTTATATTGTGAAATATTACAAAAAATATTCTGCGGTCGTTTAAAAAAGGTTTGCGGTAAGTTAATTTGATTTAAAAAATACAGTAAAAAAATGTTATATTGTGAAATATTACAATAATATTCTGCGGTCGTTTAAAAAAGGTTTGCGGTAAGTTAATTTGATTTTAAAAATACAGTAAAAAAACTGTTATATTGTTAAATATTACAATAATATTCTGCGGTCAGTTAAAAAAGTTTGCGGTAAGTTAATTTGATTGAAAAAATACAGTAAAAAACGATATATATTGTGAAATATTATTACTGTTTTCTATAATGCAATTTAAACTGGTATTTATTTCTATGCTGGCTAAGCTGAATTTCTTCAGTGTCACATGATCCTTCAGAAATCATTCTAATATACTGCTGCTCAAGAAACATTTATTATTATTATCAATGTTTAAAACAGTTCTAATTCTTAATATTTATGTGAAAACTGTGATTCTTTTTTAGGATTCTTTGATGAAAAGGAAGCTCAAAAGAACAGCCTTTATATGAAATAGAAATTTTAACATATATGTCATTACTGTCACTTTTGATTAATTTTATGCCCCCTTATTGAATAAAAGTATAAATTTGTTATATAAAAAAAAAATCTTACCAACCGCTTTTGAATAATAGTGAACAGTATATTAGTCACAACCCAATGATATGCATATTGCACACTAATTTGGAAAATGTTCCTTCAAATTAAAGAGAAATCGAATGCAATGGCATCATGCTCAGCTGTTTGAGACTAGGTATGCATGTAGGCTGTAAAATTGTGGCATGCAAAGAAAAAACAAAAAGATAGCATTTGAGAAGGGAGCTAGAACTCTGAAATACGAGATTAAATGATGGACTGTTCAACGGAGAGAAAAAAGATGGAAGCAGCTCTAGATAGAAAATGACAGTCGACCTGCCAAACACTTCCAAGATAAGGTAGGAAAAGAAGAGCGAGAGAGAAGGCGGCGCATTGTGTGAGGTTTTATGCTAAACACGTGTGGGATGAGCTAGCGAGTTATCTGAGACAGCCGCGTCTTGAACTGGAAACTGAAAGATGAGAGTGTGTGTGTGGAATGTGTGTGTGCGGGCAGCTCATGAAATCTATCAAAAACAGATTCGGGTCAAATTTCATTCCAAAATCAAACGTTTTTTGACTTTCTTTTCATTGTCATAATGTACACTACTATTACTACTAATTATTTATTTATATATGTTTTGTAAAAAAATACTTTTATTCAGCAACGACGCGTTAAATTGATCAAATGTGACAGTAAAGACATTTATAATGTTACAAAAGTTTTCTACTTCAATTAAAAAATTACATTTTAAAATATATTACAATAGAAAACTGTTTTTTTTTTTATTGCAATCACATTTTAAAATAAATAAGTGCAGCCTTCGTGAGCATACGTGACGTTTCAAAAACATAAATATTTTACTGACCCTAAAAAAAATCTCTTATAATATATAATTATAAAGTATTTATAAATACATTTTTTTTTTAAATCACATTGCCATTTTTTACTCTAATACTGAACAATCATTTTTAGGGTGAACTATTCCTTTAAATGATCTTGTTCTCTGTGGAAGCTCGAACTCATTTCTCTGCCGTGTGTCTCTATTCTTCAGGGAAGATGTGGCGGAGGCGAGCGGTGGTTCAGGCGTCTCAGGGGGACGGCAGGCCGTGTTCGTCTCAGATGGAGCAGTGGAAACCGTGTCCTGTGCGACCCTGCTACAGATGGCAGTACGGCCCGTGGTCAGAGTGCCGTGTTGAGGTCTCTCATTTCAGCTTTTTCCATGGCTCAATGTAAATTTACAGATCAGAGTTCATCAAACTTGAACTGAAGCACTGCAAGAAGAAACTTCTTCACGGAAATGCAAGCACATTAAAAGAAGTCTTTCGGCTCGAGTTCAAGTTTGGTGAACTCGGACTTGTGAAGCTTCTAGGTCAAGTTTATTTTTCATAATCCATGTTTTTCACTTTTTGTCACTGGAAATGTTTTCAAAAGACACTATCCACACTAAGGTACACAACAGTACTATCTGTTAATTGACTACTCTACCGTTCAAATGTTTGGGGCCGGTATAATTTTTTAAAATGTTTTATTATGCTTATGCTCACCAAGGCTGCTTTTAGTTGTATATATTTTCTGTCAAAACGGTAAGATTGTGAAATATTTTTCGAATTTAAAGTTTCGCCACTAGAGGTCGCTTTTTAAAAACAATAACAAAGGCGTACAGTAGCTTGATGACTCCGTGAATGAGCATCCCAGACAGCAAACTGACATTGAATCAACGTGGAAACGACGTCTCTCATGACATTGAAACAACGTTGATTTTGCTCATCGAATTAACGTTGAACCAACGTCAGACGCGGCATTCTTCAAAGCTAAATGAAAATTGAAAATTGGTTTGCTTTCATAACGTTGAAGCAACGCGTTGATTTCAAGTTGATTTTCCGTTAGTTTTGAAAGAATGATGTGTCTGACGGTGGTTCAACGTTAATTCGATGAGCAAAACTATGTCAGATCAACGTTGTTTCGATGTCATATTTCCACGTTGATTCAATGTCAGTTTGCTATCTGGGATGGGATCATGGACAGCCGATGGAAAGCAATCCGACGGGACGCGACGGGCTAACGTATTTAAGTTTTATTAACGTTACTGTTGTAGGCATCCTGGGACATTTTACCTTAAGTACTGTTTTAATTATGCTTATATGTCGCAGTCGGCCACTGCCGCTCCTTTCACTTTGTTAAATTGTAAAAAATTGTTTAAACTTTGTTACAGTTATGTTTGATCGCTTAAATTCACATTATTTTAGTTCATTCTAATGAAACAGCTGAATTACTACTCACACAGGTCAATTTAATACTGTGGGGTAACACATCTGTTTAACTAGGTCAAAACAAGCATAATAAAATACATTCGAGCGAGTTGAAAGTTGTTATATCATTACTATGTTTGTTAGCTAGGCGTTAGCTAGATTATAGTTTATAATCGAATCCAGTGGTTCTCAACTCCAGTCCTCGAGATCTGCGTATTGTGTATGTCTCCCTTATTTAACACACCTGATTCAGATCCTGAAAGGCTGGTTAGGATAGACTCTATGAACTGAACTGAGTGTGTCTGATAAGAGAGACATACAAAATGTGCAGAGCACTGGAGTTGAGAACCATCTGTTCATCTTTGTTCTTTTTTTTCTGCTGAGCTCCATTGTGACTCATGAAATTCAAACAATTTAGTGTTTATTGAACGGTATTGTACACCGGAGCAATAGTTTAAGCTAAACACCTCAATCGGCCAATGCAACACACTGAATAATTGTGCTAACAACCCGCGCTGGAACTCCTCACTCTTCCAGAACCTTGTTTTCCAATCTCGCTGTCAACCTCGTCTTCTCTTCTGTTATTCTCTCTGATCCTCCTCCGTTTCAATCCTCCTTTTGATCTTTGGATTTAGGAAGTGTTTATGACTGCGCAGCACTCTCATCTCAAGCTCTGTGTGTGCATGTGTGTTGCAGGAGGTGGTGTGTGGGGTGGGCATGCGTTTCCGGAACCTGTCGTGCTTCGTGTCAGACGGCTCCAGCGATGGGAAGAGCAGCATTGTAGAGGAAGATCTCTGTGCTGGATTGGAGCTGGCCGTCGACGGAGATACGAAGATTGTTCTGGAGGAGACCTGCACCTTACCCTGCCCTGGTAACACAGTCTTAGAATATTCAATCAATCAAAGCTTTTATTAAGGACACACATGGTCCAAAATACAAACAGTAGCAGACAAAAAAAACAAACAAAATCACATATAATTTACATATAGGCTAAAACGCCAATGGGTCCTCATATTGGAGGAGAACCTGACTGAACTTAGGCCTGGGTTCGTTCGTCAATGTTGAAATTATGCTGTTTGCAGAATCGAACAACCTACACATACATCTGTACATGATATTGCGCAGAACAGGTGGGCACGCCGACACTGACAAATATAATATATATAATATTTAATTTACTAAAATAAATTAATGTTATAGGAAAATATTAGCAAATATTTTTGCTAATATTTAGCTATATATATATATATAATGTAACAATATCTTTAAAATATTCCCATAAAAAAAAAAAACCCGGCCTCGAATTGTTTAGAATAACTATTGTTGTTGTTTTTTTTAGAAATCCACTCATTATACATTCAACACTCAATAGCGTTGCCATTTAAATAGTCTTTTCTTATAAATATATAGGGTTTAATTGTCACTATTAACTAGTTGCTTATTAGCATGCATATATTGGCTGTTTATTACTACTTAAATAATGAGCATATTATTGCTTCGTTCTACATTAACGTCCCTTAATCCTACCCAATAACTACCTTGCAACTATTAATAGGCAGTTATTAGGAGTTTGAGGCAAAAATTCATACAGATGGCTAATAGTTAGTAAATAATGAGAATTGGACCCTAATCTATAGTGTGACCATATTTGGTTATACAGCAATATTGCTTTTAGTTTAGTTATATAATCTGGATGTTTTTTGGTTTTATTTGCCTGTGGCCTCCGAGGGCAGCAAAGCAAGTGCATTCTGGGAGTTGGTGTCTTTCATCCACATAAGCCAAAAATACATTTTCTGGCTTTTCTCAGTCTAGAAAGCTCCAAATTCAAAAATAATTTCACATTTCTTCCACATAAATGACCCATTTTAAATACACATTCATCTTTCCAGAGGTGAAGTATCCCTTTAACATGTGTTTTAAGTCTATATAACCTGATAATTATGTAATATATGTCATCTAAATAAATTGTTGGGGGTTGAGGGTTGAATTGAAATTGCACTTGAACTAGTTTAAATTGTAAGTGAATTGTTGCATGTGAAAATAGCTTCTCTCCTGCTGATCTGTTCAGGTGACTGTTATCTGATGGAGTGGTCCGACTGGACCCCGTGTCAGAGAGTGTGTGTGAAGGGTCAGCGTTTGGACTTCACCCCGGTGCAGGTCCGCTCACGTGCCGTCATCGCGCAAGAACCAGAAAACATCGCTCAGTGTCCCGATCAGGAATGGCAGTCCCGCCCCTGCACCAGTGAGACATGCTCCTCCTCTCTCATTGCCATATAGACACTGTTTTACTTTGATTTCGTTCCAAATAGATGATTTCCAGAATAAATACTTGAATTAACAGGTCCATAGAATTTTACATGAAATGCAGTTTGATGTTTAGGGCTTGATTCTTTACAATAGCGATTGGAAAGTGAACCGAGAGCCAAACATAACTAACAGACTGACCAAATAAAAGCTATTTAAGGCAGGGACAGTGTGAATGCAATGGGAATTGGGCTTTTTTTTTCCAGCTGGTTCTCATTTCGGTCCAATTTAACCCCGTAAAGCCTGAAATGTTACATTTTGAAATTGAACAGTTTATTGAGTATTTAGACAAAATATTTTTTCAAATTCAAAAAAAGTTTGCATGTCTTATATTCTATACATCAGGCTAATAATATAATGAACAGTACAGTATAACTTTAATAAAATGCGTATAAATATCAGTTGTCACTCTATATCTGCCAATAATGTCTTCGTAAGATGATATTTGAATGCTTAGTTTTATGATCAAAGCTCTGTAGATTTTATTGTGTGGGCCAAAACATACAGTACAATGCAATACAATGACTGAGAGATGAATAAATAAACGTTCCCCAAAAGCCTGATGCATCATACTTGATATTACTTTCAAAGTTTTGATCATCTAGATGCAGTAGGGTTAATTATTTTGGTACTATTAACAGAATGTGAGTGTGACAACACCCTTAATGAGTCTCTCTACAACTGTCCAAAAGGGTCGACTGCATGTATATTTAATCTGTTGATTTCCGGATAGATGGTGAGTGTTATGAGTACCAGTGGATGGGCGGTCCTCAGCTGATCTGGTGTCAACGCTCAGATGGATTAAATGTTACAGGTGCTGTACAACACCACTTTACATCTGTCTCTTTAAGTCACATGAATGAGTAACCAATGAAGGTTGACAGATACTGTACCAATACTTTTGTTTACTTGATGCATAATGTGTCTGTGGACTTTTTTTTAATCAACATCAAGTTTCTCAATGTGCACATCTCAGGTCCTTTCAGTTTTTCCACCACTTTTAAATGCCTTTGACCTTCTCTAAAGCATCATTAACCTTCCTGCAGTGTGACAAATAAATTATTGTAGTTTCTGAATTAATGAGCTCATAAAAGCTGCATGCACAATAATTATAAAAGAATTGGAAAAGTGCTGTTTTAAGCAGCCGTATGTGTACTGTGCATGAGATTCATATTTTCTGTAGTTTCTGATTAAACTACTAGTGTACAGTCGTTAAAGAGTACACTGCTTAGAATATCCCAAAATGCAATCCAAAGTCAATTTTGTTGTAATTATGAACACATTACATGGCAATGGATATGAATGGAATACAGTTCCTTCGTAAAACATATACAGTAGTGGAACAATGAATATGGACAATAATTACAACATTACCACAATGTACACAGAGTAAAATCAGAACTGGCATATATACCTAAAGTTTAGCAGCAGTGGGATATGATTTATAAGTAAATAGTTTTATGCACAGACAAATCAAAAATGATACTTCAATATTCCAAAAAAAAAAAATAAGAATTGTATATTTTGATTTCATGGTGGCTTAAAGTGGTTATAATACAGTATATGCAGTATTGCATGCAAGTGATGTTATAGAAAAGTATGCTTTTGAATGAGATAGAGTAACGTTATTGTTATGTCTTTGGTTGGTATGTCTACACAACTTTTTTGTTATTTCTTCCAGGTGGATGCCCTCCAGCGCTACTGCCAGGGGCGGACCAGTCATGTGATCCACTTTGTAACAAACCACAGTCATTCTGCTCAGAGGTAAGACACAAGAGGATTGTGGGATTACTGTAATCTCAGCCTGGGTGTCTGTAACTGTTGACGGTTGCTCAAGCTGTAATTATTTTAATGGACGTAACAGAAAATCATAGTCATAAACTGTTTTTTGGGGGGTGCAGTTGATTTTATATTTCTGAAACATGATCAGTGAGCTTTTTTACTTTTTAATACATTTTAATCATATTGCATACCAAATGATAGCTGCATAAATAATATAATCTAGTTGATTTTTGTGTGCATGCTATTTGGGATCATTTTACCCACAATCCCTTTCAAAAAAGACAAGTTTGTGAATATTCTCATTCCTCTATGGATTAGCGTTAACATTAATTTCCCTGGTCAATAGACTACTGCAGGAATGACATAGTTTTGTAGGCCAACCTGGAAGTTAACATGACCCTGGTTCCCTTGTCAAAAAACCAATAGTTTATTTTTTTCCATTGGCTTTAGAGCATTGTAGAAATTAAGCTCTGTGACCAACAAAAGTGTATGATTCTTACACATTTTGTTCATAACGTAATATTCACAAATGAACACAACTATTAGCCTATTAAATTTGAAGCCTAAATATTTAATCTCCAGAAGTGAAAAGCTAAAGTTTGGCTATAAATGACGCCTTCACTGTCACCACTGCTAAACCACAACTCTTTCAGTCTTTATCTAACATCTACAGTTTGGAAAATTTGCCAATGAGGCTGTAAAAGCAGACTAGTAAGTAGATGAGTTTACCAGTTCAGCGTGATGAAGCTTTAATGGCCCCAAGAAGTCACCTTTATTTATTAAATTAAATCCAGATTGTTTAAAGCAGCTTTACAGTGCTAACACGAATATGATGCATAAGATACTGATGTATTTTATTTCGTAGAATAAAACGTGAGAATATAACCACAGTCCTTATTTCAAGCATTTAACCAAAAACTGTTGAATTTGTGAAGGTGGGTTTTAGGGCTGGTTCCTACAGCACTCATTTGGGTGTAAATTGGGTCAGGCTCTGAGAGGAAGCAGAAAGCATGATAGTATTTGTGTGCTGTTGCTGCCCCCTGCAGGAGGGCGTATGTATGTGCGAGGAGGGCTATACCGAGGTCCTGACGGCCGAGGGAATGCTGGAGCAATGTACGCCCATCCCTGTGCTCGAAATCCCTACCGCAGGGGACAAGAAAAACGATGTGAAGACCAGCCGGGCCATCAACCCCACCCTGCCCACCACGGTTCAGCCTGGCCGCGTGGGACGCACATGGTACTTGCAACCGTTTGGACCAGGTAAATATTCAGTTTCAGTTTCTGTAAGTAGTTTTGCAGTTTTGCTAAAAAAATCAAGGCTTTTCCTCTTTAGACGGAACATTGAAGACGTGGGTGTACGGTGTGGCGGCAGGTGCTTTTGTCCTCCTGGTGTTTATAGTGTCGATGATTTACCTCGCATGGTAAGAGCGACGCCACTTTCCATCTGCTTCGTCATCATCGCTCACTTTATTTTCTCATTCACTACGTGCATTCGTTTGCTTGTGTTTTTCTGTTGCTCACATCCCATCATCCATGCCTCCCTTCGCCCGTCATGAGCAGCAGTTACTGTGCCATCCGGCGGTCGCTCGAGACGCCAGATTCTGCCAATGGTACGGTGGTATGGATGGGCCAAGACGCCCATGAACTGACGTACACCTGCCCTGAGTGCCAGCAGCCGAGTCAAGATTCAAGAGCCAGTTAAAGGCCGGAGGAACAGACTTCTGATCTCAGCCCCCTCTGCCCAGTGCCTCGGCCTCAGTCTGTGCCTTATGTTCGGATGCTTAATGCACCGAGCTGCCCGGGTAGGCTGCCTATCTACTGTTTAAGGTTTAAAAAGAGATCAAGAAACTCATTCTGTTGCAAAACCTAGTGAGCTGTATCAGTAGGCTTTATAGGGTTAATTCTTTAAAAATCACTTTTTTCTGTGTTGAATGAATTAAAAGTATATATATATAATGTATACTTTATATATAAAGTGTATATAAATATACATATAATAATGTATATTTATAATGTACACTACAGTGCTGAAGTGCCAACTAGCTAAAATAAAACAAAATTCTGTATCAAATTTATAGACAAGACAAGTAGTTTGTTCAGGCATGGTTTTTGTTGGGAATTACAAACCTGCGCATATATATTCAAACGTACATAACTATAGAATCGATTATTAATGGGCATGTGAACGCCATCAGCGTTTATCACAAGTTGGCGTTTAAAGTCTGTTTAGAGACATTCATATACATTTTTACCTTACAGTTACTTTAAATCCGGCCTCTAGTTCATAAACGCCAGAGAAGAACTGGCCCCCAACTGAGCCTGGGTTCTCCCAAGGTTTTTTTTTTCTCCACTGGCTCACCTGATGGAGTTTTAGGACACCATTAGGTCACTTGATGGAGTTTTAGGACACCATTGGGTCACCTGATGGAGTTTTAGGACACCATTGGGTCACTTGATGGACTTTTGGGATACCATTAGGTCACCTGATGGAGTTTTAGGACACAATTGTGTCACCTGATGGAGTTTTAGGACACCATTGGGTCACCTGATGGAGTTTTAGGACACCATTGGGTCACTTGATGGACTTTTGGGATACCATTAGGTCACCTGATGGAGTTTTAGGACACCATTAGGTCACTTAATGGAGTTTTAGGACATCTTTGGGTCACTTGATGGAGTTTTAGGACATCATTGGGTCACTTGATGGAGTTTTAGGACACCATTGGGTCACCTGATGGAGTTTTAGGACACCATTGGGTCACTTGATGGACTTTTGGGATACCATTAGGTCACCTGATGGAGTTTTAGGACACCATTAGGTCACTTAATGGAGTTTTAGGACACCATTGGGTCACCTGATGGAGTTTTAGGACACCATTGGGTCACTTGATGGAGTTTTAGGACACCATTAGGTTACTTGATGGAGTTTTAGGACACCATTAGGTCACTTCATGGAGTTTTAGGACACCATTGGGTCACCTGATGGAGTTTTAGGACACCATTGGGTCACCTGATGGAGTTTTAGGACACCATTGGGTCACATGATGGAGTTTTAGGACACCATTAGGTCACTTTATGGAGTTTTAGGACACCATTAGGTCACTTTATGGAGTTTTAGGACACCATTGGGTCACTTGATGGAGTTTTAGGACACCATTAGGTCACTTGATGGAGTTTTAGGACACCATTGGGTCACCTGATGGAGTTTTAGGACACCATTGGGTCACCTGATGGAGTTTTAGGACACCATTGGGTCACCTGATGGAGTTTTAGGACACCATTGGGTCACCTGATGGAGTTTTAGGACACCATTAGGTCACTTTATGGAGTTTTAGAACACCATTAGGTCACTTAATGGAGTTTTAGGTCACCATTGCTTCACCTGATGAAGTTTTAGGACACCATTAGGTCACTTGATGGAGTTTTAGGACACCATTAGGTCACCTGATGGAGTTTTAGGACACCATTGGGTCACCTGATGGAGTTTTAGGACACCATTGGGTCACCTGATGAAGTTTTAGGACACCATTAGGTCATCTGATGGAGTTTTAGGACACCATTGGGTCACCTGATGGATTTGAGTTTGAGTTTTTCTCAGTTGGGGATATTCACATTAATTAACCAATCAGTAATACCCTTGATCAGCTCTACCAAACATGGATGTTTTTCCACTAAGAAATGAACATTGTTATTATATTTTGATTGCTACTGCGAAGCTGCTTTGATGCAATCTATATTGTGAAAAGCGCTATATATTGGGATTGCCTTTTCTGTGATGCATACATGTGATTCTGCCTTAGAAGGCTCAGTTTAGGTATTCTGATAGGCAACATGATGTTCCTTACCTTTGGAACAATTCACTAGGTTTTGTAACAGTGAATTTGTTATGATCATATGTTGCAATAATGCTGAAAACTAATTTGGCCAATATAGTCTTTAATGACGCCTGACATAGTTTTGCACCTATTATATTTCATCAAGTCATTACTGAATCTTTCCTCATCATCATGATTTTTCATCATCATGATTTTTTTTTATACATTGCATGATTTCATTTTTGTACCATATGCCATAAAATGCATACGCATATATACTGTATTTATATAATATATTGTGTTTTCAAATACTGTAAGATAAAGTATACACAAGCAAGATTTTGAGAAAGACAACCTTAAATGCAGCAATGAATGGCGTAAATTACAGTTGCTGAATATCGTAATAACCCAACATAGTGATTGCTAAAATATTTATTTTATGGCTGCTGGATTTTTTGTTTTTGTTTTTAGTAAATTGCTATCAACAGAGGTGCCATATTTTTTTTATTGAAGAGAATTAAATTGATGCAGTGTGCATGTGGCCTTAAAGTAATTCTAAAGGAATTTTTAAACCAAGCATATTGTTATTATAGAATTTTGATTCTTTTGTCCTCAGCAAAAAGCCAAAGAAACCTCAGCGAAGACAAAACAATAACCGACTGAAACCCTTGACCCTGGCGTACGATGGTGATGCGGACATGTAGCCTTTCTCTGAGAACTAACATCATGAAAATATCACCGACATCCTGAAAACAGGTGAATCTCTCTCAAACATGTCTGCGTCACATTATACCCCCAAATTTAAAGAAAAACTAAATAAGTGATGATATTTTTGATTAAAAGAAACTAAGGCAATTTTAAACCTTCAAGATTTTGTACACCGTGATATTTAGAAATTTTGATTATTGCATTATTCATGACAATGAATCACATTAGTTCCTAAATTCTTTTTTTTACAGTAATGCATCTGGACGATTGAAGTGTTTTTGTAATTCTCAGCATTGTCAATAGCGATTCTTATTAAAATATCCATTTAAATCAGCAAAAATTAAAGGCTATATAACTAATATTACCATGATGTATTAATACCTATTTATTGAAACGTTGTAAAACAGAGTTATAGTAAAAGAGAGTGTTTACATTACAGCAGTAAGAATTGAGGGTAAATGTGCTTATGAAAATATTGTCACAATGCAAAAAGCTTTTGCAGTCATATCAACATTTCATTTTATAGCCCTTTATAGAACTTGTTTCACAGTAATAAACAGGAAAGTAACAGAATTAATGATGCAAACTTCATCAAATATATTCAATTCAATTCAGTCACTGTGTAAAGTTCATTCATTATGAAACAAGTTGAATTCTGCTGTGTAGGAGCTCTACCGAAGACAATAGTGCCGTTATTCAGCGTCATCTGATAAAGTCGATAAACTAGGCCAAAAAAAAAGCTTTATTTTTTGGTTTGGGGGGGAAATATGACCTAGGCATGTTTTTGAGATTCACCTACAGTACATACTCCTCCAAATGAGAAATGCCTAACCATGCATCACAAATACTGGACCCTCATCGCTTGAATCCAACTTGGAAGAAGAAACATCCCAGAGCCACAAAAGAAACCCGTCATACTTTGTTTTTACTTCCCGTTCTTGTTCTGGAAGAGCCTTTACACACATCTCCATATGCTGTGAGATCATGCCTTCGTTTATATATTCAGTTCCTTACAAGCATTTGTCAATTATGCAACTGTGGTCAAGCTAGTGGTCTTCTACAACTGGTAGGACCTTATCAGAACAACTTTCTTCCGACTTGTGCTTCCCAGCTGAGAGGATTCATGTTTATGGAGTTATTGAATAAACAATGCCAAAACACACAGTAGAGAACAACTTCAGATATCACTTAAATCATGGACAACATTTGCTCACAGAAGATGCAGCCTTTCTATGGAAGGTAAAAACGAGACAAATCATGTTCTCCTGGAAGTCCCACTCTGATTCCAGGTGTTATTTTGCACTATATTAGTGCAGCAAGGAATTGAACAATGTCTCTGAAGCAATGATTCTTCAAGGCAACAATATGAATATGAATCTGGAGCACATCAATGAAGCGGGATAACTGAGAAAGTGTAAGAATAAATCTCAGAGTGGGACTCTTTAAAGACCTCACGTCCTTTTATTTTCGCTCATTTGTGCATTGTATAGTTTCTACTGTATGTGTCTTTTCTGCTCAACAGACTTTACATATGTTTTGTTTGTTTTTTTGTTATGGTTTTCCATTCAGGCATTTTTATAATATATACTGTAATAATTGGTCGATGGAAAAGTGGTTGTGACAGTATTATGATTTTGATTGGGGGATTTATGCCCCATTTTCAATTTCTGGTAAATATTTACAAGAACGATGTACTTGTCAAGACAATGGGTCTCATGGGAAGACCGATTGTTTCTGCCTTATTATCGATTCAAAAATATAGGAGTTTTGTTCCTAATTGTTGCCAATTCTCACAAGACAGTGGTCATGCAAAATACAGTGGCCCTACAAAGTATTTGGACGCATAAAGGATACTTAATAGGCTCATTTTACATCTCCCCCAGAGTTAAACTATTGAGTTTTACCATTTTTGAATCCATTCAGCCGATCTCCGGTTCTGGCAGTACCACTTTTAGCATAGCTTAGCATACATCATTGAAGTGGACAAGACCATTAGCATTTCATTTTAAAAAATGACCAAAGAGTTTCGATATTTTTCCTATTTAAAACTTGACTCTTCTCGACAGACGGAAAATGTAAAGTTGCGATTTTCTAGGCTGATATGGCTATACTCTCATTTCTGCGTAATAAATCAAGAAACTTTACTGCCGTACCATGAGTGCGAATGAGAGTGTAGTTCCTAGCCATATCAGCCTAGAAAATCACAACTTAAGTTTTAGAGTAAAGTTTTAATAGGAAAAATATCGAAACTCTTTGGTCATTTTTTTGTTATTGTTGTTGAGAAATGCTAATGGTCTTGTCCACTTCAATGCTAATGCTAATCTATGCTAAAAGTGGTACCGCCAGAACCGGAGATCGGCTGAATGGATTCAAAAACGGTAAAACTCAACAGTTTAACTCTGGGGGAGTTGTAAAATGAGGCGATTTCCAAAAAAAAAAAAAAAAAAAAAAGTGGAGTATCCCTTTAAGATCAACTTTAAAATGTCTGAATGTAATTGCATTAGATATAGGGTTGTGAACCGGTAGCATATTTTTAAATACTGGAAACAAGTGACACAATGTATTAAAATGTATTCTGATGTTGTTTCCCACACTATTATTTTGCACCACCAATGTCAAAACTCTCTTAAAGGGATAGTTCACCCAAAAATGAAAATGCTGTCAGTAATTACTCACCCTCATGCTGCTCAACCCCGTAAGACTTTCGTTCATCTTCAACACACAAATTAAGATATTCTCGATGAAATCTCAGAGCTTGGTAAACTTAAGATTGAGTCACTGTAGTCACTTAGACTATTTTAACGATGTCTTTACTAACTTTTCTGGCCCTGCAAGTTTCAATCCCTTAGAAGCCTATGGAGGAGTGATCCAGCTCTCAGATTTCATCGAAAATATCATAATTTGTGTTCCGAAGATGAACGAAAGTCTTACAGGGTTTGAACAACATGAGGGTGAGTAATTACTGACAGAATTTTCATTTTTGGGTGAACAATCCCTTTTTAGTGAATCAGAAACATACAAACTATTTGGTGTAGTCTAATCCCTAAACTATTGACTCTTATGAACCTGTTCTTTTTAGTTAATCAAAAACATTCCAACTGTTCGGTGTAGTCCGATTCCTGAACTATTGATTCTTATGAACCGGTATTTTACACTGAATCAAAAACTTGTGAAACTTAAATCAGTATACCTGCTGGTGTATCACATGACACTGTGTACTTGAATTAGGATTTAAGCATTATATAGAAATTGGATGAATTAAAAGTGTTAGCAGAATTTTGGTTTCCCTTAATAAAAATAGGCATTTATGATGCCTTTAAAAGGACTGTGAAAAGTCATTAAAAATTCAGGAATGGCTTTATATTTATTTATAATAAATTTCACTTGATTTGATATTGTGTAATCTAATGCATCTCTACATTCAGTGTGACTTACATGTGAAAATACTTTCTGGGGTTATTGTACATGTGTAGCACTTTTCTGGGATCTGATATATATTTTATTGTATAATATTATGGCATCACAAGTATAGCCACAATTTGAGCTGTCTTCTACACACTTACAGAACATATACAAAGCCGATTGATGTTTAATTATTCAGCAGAATATTAAATAGTAATCAATTTATATTTCCATAATTATACGTAATCCCCTTAAAATGCAGTGAAAAAGAAAATGGTGTATAAAATCTTAAGTATTCATGAAATTTATATATATCCAAACAACAGCGTGAATATGATATTCCTAAGATGTATTAGTCTATGAATCCTGCTGATATCTTCCATACAGATAGTAGATATAGAAGAGGCTTTTTATTGGTCAACTTTCCTCGTTTTCCCCTGATTCATTTACGCTGCTACATCAGAGTCATTTCACCTGGCCGTCCTGCTAGCAGCTGGTGAAATTAATGTTTTGTATCATTTGTAAATAAGAATGAGTATTAAATCATATTAATTTCTTTTATATTGCACAGAAATGTTTAGTACATTGCAAAGTGGTCTCGCTGATTCTTTGTTGATTATGGTCATGTTGTAAAGTCTTTTTTGTACAGCTTATGTTTTCTGATGACCTACAGGTAATAAACACTGGTGTATTAAACATGAAGAATGTTTGTTTCGTTTTTTAACCCAATACAACGACCCACCAGCCTGAACCAAGCATTTTTAGAGTGCACTGAAATGGTTCTATTTAGAACCAGAAATGGTTCCATCCCCCGCTTCATATATGGAACTCCAAAATGGTTCTATATAGAACCATTTTTTTTTGGGTAAAAGGTTCTATTGGCCAAGAATGGAACCCCAGGGTTCTATATAGAACCCAGAGGAACCCTTTTTTAAGAGTGTATAGAACCTTTTAGGGGTTCAAAATACGTAGTGCTGATAGAACCTTTTAGGATTCTATATAGAACCTTTTCTTCTAAGAGTATGCATTATATTTTATAAATGATAAGAATTGTCATTCCTTATACATTCACGTAAGGATTATAGGAACACCATATACTAATATTGTGTTTGACCCCCTTTTGCCTTCAAAACTGCCTTAATTCTACGTGGAATTGATTCAACAAGGTGCTGAAAGCATTCTTTAGAAATGTTGGCCCATATTGATAGGATAGCATCTTGCAGTTGATGGAGATTTGTCGGCTGCACATCCAGGGCACGAAGCTCCCGTTCCACCACATCCCAAAGATGCTCTATTGGGTTGAGATCTGGGGACTGTGGGGGCCATTTTAGTACAGTGAACTCATTGTCATGTTCAAGAAACCAATTTGAAATGATTCGAGCTTTGTGAAATGGTGCATTATCCTGCTGGAAGTAGCCATCAGAGGATGGGGACATGGTGGCCATAAAGGGATGGACATGGTCAGAAACAATGCTCAGGTAGGCCGTGGCATTTAAACGATGCCCAATTGGCACTAAGGGGCCTAAAGTGTGCCAAGAAACATCCCCCACACCATTACACCACCACCACCAGCCTGCACAGTGGTAACAAGGCATGATGGATCCATGTTCTCATTCTCTTTACGCCAAATTCTGACTCTACCATCTGAATGTCTCAAGAGAAATCGAGACTCATCAGACCAGGCAACAGTTCTCCAGTCTTCAACTGTCCAATTTTGGTGAGCACTTGCAAATTGTAGCCTCTTTTTCCTATTTGTAGTGGAGATGAGTGGTACCTGGTGGGGTCTTCTGCTGTTGTAGCCCATCCGCCTCAAGGTTGTCCGTGTTGTGGCTTCACAAATGCTTTGCTGCATACCTCGGTTGTAACGAGTGGTTATTTGAGTCAAAGTTGCTCTTCTATCAGCTTGAATCAGTCGGCCCATTGTCCTCTGACCTCTAGCATCAACAAGGCATTTACGCCCACAGGACTGCCGCATACTGGATATTTTTTTCCCTTTTCACACCATTCTTTTTAAACCCTAGAAATGGTTGTGCGTAAAAATCCCAGTAACTGAGCAGATTGTGAAATACTCAGACCGGCCTTAAAAAAATTGCTTAAATTGCTTTCCCATTTTGACATTCAGTTTGGAGTTCAGGAGATTGTCTTGACCAGGACCACACCCCTAAATGCATTGAAGGAACTGCCATGTGATTGGTTGATTAAATAATTGCATTAATGAGAAATTGAACAGGTGTTCCTAATAAGTGTATGTCTATGAATGTGAATGTTTACTCTCTTATGTAATGACAGATACGATACTGCTTTGTAGGATCGACTGTATTAAGTCATAAAGTGTCTGAAGCTGGATTGGTTGAGTCGAGCTTCACAGGCGTTCCTCCCTCGTCTGAGCAGCTCTCAGTATCAGATGGAGCTGACTGACCATGTGTTCACAGCGCAGAACAAGCCTGGAATCAGGAACATCACCTTCCCCTGTGAAACCCATTGAATCCCATTGAGAATTTCACAGGGATCAGAACGGCTGTAAGGAAAGTTCAAGAGTCAAAAAATCTTCTAGATGATGATGATTGCAAGCAGTTTGGCGCATATTTTGATCCTTTCTTCTATATATGATGTAAGTACACTTTCATTTTATCTCTAATTCTTCTACGTCTCTTGGCTGTGGGTGTTGATCTGCTCTTTGACATGTCAAGTCAAATCCATACTGAATGCATACTGTACGTGATTTCTGTCAGAATCCTAATGGGATCTGTCTCCAATCATGTAAGATCGAAGACTGAAACATTGTTTAGGAGAGCTTTATGAAGGATGGATTAAAAGTGTGTGATCAAATGCTGAAATTGAACGTGAAATTCCTATTGAATGTCTAATTAAAGGCAATCATTCCTTGGTAAATGAGATTTTTCAGACTTTAGAACTATATCGTTTGGAAGCTTTGAAACATTAAGTCTATTTAAATATAAACATATTGTTTTATGAGATTTTTACAAAAGATCCTCTGAAATTCCAACAGGAATTCTATAAACATTATTGACATTTTTGTGAAACAGCAAAAAAAAAAAGAAAAAAAATATCTGGTATTAGCTGGTTTAAGATGGTTCCCCTGGTCTTCTGACCAGCTAAAAAACCCCTAAAACCATCAAATCAGACCTGTAAAAACCAGCTAAGACCAAGTAAACTCAACTTTTTTATAATAATTATCCATGATAGATCTTGATTGCATTAGTGGGAGTAATTCTAATTTAATGGTTGGTCAAGAATATCATGTGAAGGAATCCAGTTTTGGTCACTGGTCTTCGCACCGAGAGATCAATACTGCTCAGGAAAGTCAGCAATTTTCTCCATCATGTTTTCAGAAAGAATGAACAAGTGTTACACTTTTTGTATCCAATTGTGTCTCATCCAATCGCAGTTTATCATTCTTGGTGTTTTGGAAGTGTTTTCCATAATGCAACATTCCAGCATTGCAAGCTAGAGTCATTGTAAGAATATTTTGTGTTGACTTCTGTCCCTCCGTTCTTGCACCTTTTCTGTTCACCCGTTCCCTGTGTAAGGTCCAGCTCACACATCAGACTGAAGATCGATTCGTCTCTAATTGAAATAAGAGGCAACGTGCTCGAGCCTCAAAAGGATTATTGCTTTTTTATATAAATATATAAGTGTGACTGTAAGTGTCTGACCCCTGGAGATAAAGATCCAATATACGAATTCTGTGAAAAGAGCTATCGAGTTGATCTCATAAGTTTCGATTTTTGGGGTTTTCCTTTTTTTCCACCTGGACATGTTCAATGGAATTGTTCCAGTGTTAAATAACCTTCATCTGATTACGGCATGCTGTGTATGTTTTTATGATCCATGGAGTTAAATCATGGGCATGGCTTACTGGTTTATGCACTAATATTCCCAATGCAATCCCAAATTCTTTTTCATCTTTAGGCAGATGCAGGTTTCAGAGGTAGTCTCTCCCTCTGGGAATGTTTCAGATGACTTACAGTATGTTGTGATTTCATCTTGCAGGTGAATTTCAATCCCCTTTTCACTGACTGCCTGGTCTGATCCTTAGAAAAATCTTCAAAGGTCTACCCTAATCATATGATTATAAACAACCTATGTCTTCATAATAATTCACATCTATATTTATATTTACAGAACACAAAAACACAATTTAAGAAATATTGAAACTTCAAGTCTGTTCTCAAGCCAGCGTTCAAACAAGAAAATGGCTTGTTTTCACACTTCATCATTACGAAGAATCATTGAAGTGATCTCTGCTCAAGTTTCATTGTGTTTGCTTGGCATTCCATCATTCAACATCACGCTTTAATGAAGGTGAAGGTGCTATTGTTCACGCACATTACCTTGTTTGGGTGCTTTGAATCATGTTTGTGAATGTTACAACTCCATAAATTCCCGTCTTGGAAAATGAACTCTGAGCTGGAAACACCTTGATCTTATTTATTGCTGGAGTGGGATGGCAGTGTACAACTGCTGGAGACCTAATCCATTAAACCAGCTTCCTGTAAATCTGCCATCGGAACTGCCGTAATCCTGCTCAGAGCTGTTTGGGGAAAACTGTCAGTCTGCAAATGAAGTTAATTATGATTCACAGCATTCTGACGGTAAAATAGCATGTCTCACTGTATTGTGTATCATAAAAAGTCATTCTTAGGTTTTTGTTATATCTTCATTAATTATCCCATTAATTTATCACTGCAGGGTGCTGGAACTGGTCTATTTATAAGTCAAACTGTCTATCTCTGTCTAGTTATGTCAGTCTGTCTATCTATCTATCTACTAATGTCTATCTATCTGTCTATCAATCTATCCCACTGTAAAAAAAAATATTGTTGGTTTAACTTAAAAAATGAAGTAACCTGGTTGCCTTACAATTTTAAGTTCATTGAACTGGAAAAATTGAGTTTAAGGAGATTAATTTAATCACCAGAAACTCGAAAATATTATGTTATCTGAACTACACAAATTATTTAAGTTGATTTGACAAAAGAAAAAATGGGATTACAAATCATGAAAATATTTTTTTACAGTGTATCACCCTGTTGACTGCAACCACTTTGAATACCTTAGTAAGAGAGCAGCTGTTAAGAACACACAAGCAACCACAATCTTCATGCGTCGTATTTAAATATGCAAATGAGATTTGAGAGATTTTCAGTGAATAACAGCACGAATCTAGTCTGTACAAAAAATGTTCATGATTTGTAATCACAACATTTTTTCTTTGGTCAAATCAACTTAAATAATTTATGTAGTTCATAACATAATATTTCGAGTTTCTGAAGATCTCCTTCATTGTATTAACTAAATTTTTCCATTTCAATGAATTTAAAATTTTAAGGCAACCAGGTTAGTTCGTTTTTTAAGTTACACCAACAATATTGTAAATCTGCTAACAATATTGTGAATTACTTTTATGATGTGAAGCACTTTGGATTCCTGACGGTTGTGTAAAGCGCTATAGAAATAAACGTTGATTGATTGATATTTCTTTACAGTGTATAAATAAAGGGCAGAATTTTGGCTGAACAATTTCTTCAGATGTTGCAGTGTCTCTTTTAACACCGTCACATTTTGTAAGTCGGACCATGTTTTCCTGACTCTCTTCTAGGGCATTTTGATCTGATATTGATGGCCAAAATTCAATTACAGGCAACTCCCGGACACCTTTTGTTATTTATTTCAGGACTGTCATTGCTGCTAACCCCTAGCGTTGGATGTGAACCACTCTTTCATAAGCAACAAACTGTAACATTTGGGCCATTGATCCAAGAGCTCACTAATAAAAGCTCTCTTGTATGACAGATTTGCTGTCAGGTGAAGTCAAGGAGATATTGTCTTTCTGATATGTGTGTATTTTTTTAGTTCGATGTCTCTCTTTTGTCCAAAACTCATTCTCTAAAGTCTAAAAGTCTCATTTTGTTTGTCTCAGATCAGATATGCCAATGGAAATAGTCCTCTGACCTCAAGGTCTCTACATATGGACAGGCCAAAGACGTCATGTGCTGATTCGGACCCTTTGCCCGAATCGAGTCCTGATGTCCGTGGCGCTGACCCCACCCTAGGCCTCCTGTCCGACAAACTCCGCTCATGTCCCGAGCAGGAGCTGTGGGATTGGGCCCCGAACCTGACGGAGACACACCCGTCCGGCCAACAATCGAGGAAACGGCTCACGGTGAAAAGAGGAAAAGCGAAGATGTTCGGTTGGGGAGATTTTGCATGCAGAATGACGTCTGCAAGCCTCAATCTGTGGATCACAGGGAAGATTGTGGATCACGGCAACGGAACGTTTAGCGTTTTTTTCCGATACAACAGCACCGGCGGTGGAAACGTCTCCATTGGGCTGGTTCCTCCGAGCAAAGCGGTGGAATTTGATGCGAGGACTCAACAAACTGTTGTGCACTCGGTGGAGTCGAGGATGTTTAACTGCAGGGTGGAGCATGAGAAGGTGGAGAGAGGCACCAAAAGCACACGCTGCTGGTATGACCCGTCCCGTAGCTGCGACCAGGACCAGACTCAAAGCCATGTCTCGTGGCTCTGCTCAAAACCGTTCAAAGTCATCTGTGTCTACATATACTTCTACAGCCTGGACTATAAACTGGTGCAGAAAGTCTGTCCAGACTATAACTACCACAGTGAGTCTCCGTACTTACCTTCTGGATGATCTTTTATCTCATAATGAGAGAAACCAGCTCATATTATAACAATATTATTATTTTTTCTTTAAAAAAAAATATTTAGTAGCCTACTGTTTGTCTCTATACTCACGTACTATGAACTTAGCTGATCTCGGTGGCAGGCGCTGGTGAATATGTCATTATTTCTGACAGACAGAGCAAAACTTAATGAGTTCCTGTAATTGATTTTTCTTCGTTGAGATCATGTGTCAAGGGTTTTGTCATTTCTCATTGTGAATTAATGAAATTGCTGTGAAAGTGAATGTAGTTTCATTATTGAATACAATCTGCCTCCACGCACTTGGGGGCAATTACTTCACATTGAAAATGAATGTAAAATGCATGTTTACCTTAATGTTTCTTAAAACTTTGAGAGAAAATGTTCAGAGAGCCTCCATTCTCATTCAGAAATGCGGGGAGATGGGTGTAGCCTACGTCATAGAAGTATTTTTGCACGGCCTTTATTTTTTACACTTACACTAAGTCTTAATAAAAATATGCTTCAGTTTCTTTCTTGTCTTTCTTTCGTCCTTCCTTTTTTCGTACGAGTGTCTCTAAAAGAATCGCAGACTGAGGTGATTAGTCTATTGTACTAAGCGCTGAGAAAAGTAACAGACACCACGTGATCACGCCTGTTCTTTTGTTGAGATAAAATCGACAACTGGATAATGCAACAAAGAAACTTTATTAGTAATTTAGAAGCCACGAAAACTTAAAATATCGTACTAATATCATCAAATCATTCCGAACGATCAAAATTGTGCTTTTACAGTCCCTGTTTCAAGATAATTGTCATTCTACCCACCCATCCATTCTTCCTACATTCGCAGTGCGCTCGTGATGGAGCGCGCATGACGTCATCGCTCCTTCTGCAAGGACGCGCACCCAAAAACACGCAGTGATACACATATAGCGTTTCATTTTCGCATTACAGAATGACTTAAACATCTGCAGCCGGGATCCAAACTCATAAGGTGAGTCTCACACTAATTCAGTTCATTGTAAGGCCTTTTATAATATGTAGATAATTTCCTGCATTTACTGTAGCTTGTGGCATAATGACAGAATAATGTAGTAGCTGTTTGTTTTGGTGCGGCAGAGAATGAAATCCGGATGTGAGAGTCACATGCAGGACGATGAATATTGTAAGTGACGAGAGTACTGTAGCATTAATTAGGTTTATTTACAGAGATATCATCTTCCTGTAAAGAAATGCTCGCGCAATAGATAAAGAAAGGCCTGTACTATGTACAGTCAATTATGTGTGTGTGGTGCATTAATGAAACATCAATGTTTTTTTCTTGAATAGCACAATGACCAGTTATCTTCTATAAATTAAAACTATGTTTTAAACTGATAAACATGTGCCAATGTCATCAATTGAAATTATTTTCCTTTTTATTTCAGATAATTGATAAACATGGAGAAAGGGAACCAGTGAGTATGCATTAAAATGCAGACATTCATGATTGTAGACTTAAATGAGATGCTTACATAATTGGTTTGCCATGTCTTTGCAGAGGTTATTCTCATTTTGACCAGTTTCTCCAAAGTCAAGAATCGTCTGTGGTGAACAAGTTCCAGCAGAAATACTGGAAAACCAAACAAACACTGATCAAAGTCACAGGAAAGAAGGAGGACGAACATGTCGTTGCTTCCGATGCTGACCTGGATGCTAAACTGGAGGTGAGAAATGCACAGAATTCAGACTTTTCTCTGAATCTGAACGAAAGGTCATGTGATGGATTTGGTTGGGCATGCTTCCCCTCAGGTGTTTCATTCAGTGCAGAGAACGTGCATGGAGCTCCTGAAGGTGATCGAACTGTATCAACGGAGGATCAGCTGTAAGTAGACCCCAATTTCACACATTTATTAATATTCATATCAGTGATCTCTTGTGAAAAGAAGTGCGCTTAACTGTATTGAATGTGCATAGTGTACTTCTACTCTTAAAAGTATATTTAGAAAAACTGTACTTGCCGATAATATAATAGCAATGTGTACTACTACTAAAAGAGAGTCCACTTTAATGTTTCTTTAAGGAGTAGTTCACTTTTAAAAAAATACTTTTGCTGATAATTTACTCACCCCCATGTCATCCAAAATGTCCATGTCTTTCTTTCTTCAGTCGAAAAGAAATTAACGTTTTTGATGAAAACATTCCAGGATTTTCTCCATATAATGGACTTCAATGGGAACCAAACCAAGGTCCAAAAAACAGTTTCAGTGCAAACTGTTCAAAAGGCTTTAAACGACACCAGACGATGAATAAGGCTCTTATCGAGTGAAACGATCGCTCATTTCAAAAATAAAAGTTTTATAAGCTCAAATGCTCGCCTTGCTCTGTTCTGTGATGCGTGTTTGTGACTCTCCTGTTCGAACTCGTTCATTAAAATGAACAAATCCTTTGTTCAGCTTGAACGGAGCTTGAACCGTTTGGTTCCCAGTAAAGTCCATTATATAGAGAAAATCCTGTAATGTTTTCATAATTTCTTTTCCACTGAAGAAAGAAAGACATGGACATCTTGGATGACATGGGGATGAGTAAATTACCAGCATTTTTTTTTAAAAGTGAAGTACTCCTTCAAAGGTGGATTTTGTTTGTCATATTTTTTTATCCCATAGTAATAATTAGTTTATGTGGCTTAATTCCTTTCAGTTTTGTCTGAGGAGGAGAATGAACTGGGTCGGTTCCTGCGTTCGCAGGGCTCTCAAGACAAGAGTCGCGCTGGAAAGATCATGCAAGCTACTGGGAAAGCGCTCTGCTTCTCTTCACAGCAAAGGTCTCTTCATTTTATTCAGTGTTTCGAAAACAACCCTGCTGAGAAATCCAGCATTGCTGGTGAGCCATATGTTGTGCATGCTTTGCTCTGGTCACCAGCATGTGAAGCAGGTCAGCTCAGGTTAGCTTGAGAACAGACTGGTCCACTAAATTGTCCAGCAGCCTGAAATTTTTTCAGTATTGAACATTCTACATCATCTTCAGTCAGTCATATGTGATTGGTTTGAGAGTTCTTCTCATTGATTGGTTCCTCACTGCAGATTGGCGCTGCGAGGTCCGCTGGGCCGCCTGTACCAGGAGGTGGAGACCTTCCGTTACCGAGCGATCTCCGACACGTGGCTGACGGTGAACAGGATGGAGCAGTCACGCACGGAGTACAGAGGAGCTCTGCTCTGGATGAAGGACGTTTCTCAGGAGCTCGACCCGGACACACACAAGCAGATGGAGAAGTTCCGCAAGGTCAGTCTGTTTCCCACACAATCTGAAACTTACACTCTTAGAAGGAAAGGTTCTATATAAAACCTTAAAAGGTTCTAAAGCGCTACGTATTTGGAACCCCTAAAATTCAAAAGACAAAATTCAAGATATGGTGGTTAAAAAAAATTCAGTTAACCATCAGTTTTTATCCTCCAAAAATCTGCATGATTAACATGTGATATTAAGTTTCTACAACAGTTTAATAAACAATAATTTAATAACAACTACAAAATGTTGCAGAATAATGTAATATATGAATGAATAATAGCCTTTAAAGAAACCTTTGTGCCAAAAGTGTTCTTTCTTGTCACTATTGAACCTTTTTAGCATAAAATGTCCTTTGGAGTTGAGGAAAGAACCCTATGCTACATTTATAGAACCCTTTTTTCCTAAGAGTGTATAGTGTACTAAAAAGATTATCTGTATAGACAAAACATGAATAAGAGATACTTTTACTGATGTGTTTTGAAAATAATTTAATTTATTAAGTTTATCAAAGGGATAGTTCACTTTGAAATGTTTTAGCTTACCTCTAGGACATCCAAGGTGTAGGTGTCTTTGTTTCCACAGTAGTTTCAATTTTGATATTTTTGACCGAAGCGCCTGTGCCTTCAGATCACTTGGACATGGCTGTGGTTACAAGAGGTAAAAACGATATAAATACTGTTCGTTTTCTCACAAAAACCAATCATTTCGTGTCTTAGGCCATCAATGTGTACTTACATTTACGAGTCATTAAATCATGTTTAATTTGGACTTCTCTGTGCATGCTCTTTGAGGTGGTGACCATAGACCTCCATTATATGACTGACAGACAAGAACGGTTTGACCTAAAAATATCAAAATTGAAAATACTCCGGAAACAAAGACACATACATCTTGGGTGCACTTTAGGTAAGCTAAACATACCAAAAATAAATTTCAAAGTGAACTATCCCTTTAAGTCAATTATTAAACAAATTGGGGAAGTGAAAAGACAATACGTGTTTTAAAGCAAAGCTAGATAAGTCAAAACATTTATTTTCAGGCCCTTTATGGGAATCCTGAAGCTGTCAACTGTGGAAATTAGGCTGGTTTTCATTCCTTTTGGATGAATTTTGAGTCGTCGCTTTAGGCTGGACATTTTTCTGTGACTTGCCAACCCTGCATTGACGGTGTTCCTGCAGTGAAAGCTTTTCACCTTTTAATCATTCTCATCTGCAGTGGGAGAAGATAGACTGCGTCCAAAATCACATACTTCCCTACTACAGTATGGCTGCGTCCGAAATCACATACTCTCTTGAGTCTTAACTGAGTAGGTAATAGTTTTGAATACGTAATTACTTCACAACCTCTAAAAAAGTATGTTCTATATAGTATGAATGTTATCTGGACGTACTACATCTGCAATGTTGTCATTATCATGTGATCTACCAGCATCAGTTGGTTCACTTCACTGCCATTCACAAATCCTCTCCCGTGGCCTCATGGGATAGTAAAGTGTCCGTCGTATGCAGTATGCACACTTCAGAATCTCACAGGAATAATTAGCTCATCCGGGTACCTTTTTCCTACTCTTTTAGGAGTACTGTGAATTCAGACATACTTATTTTGTCACATTCTTTTTTCACTAACTATACAGTAGGAAGTATGTGATTTCGGATGCAGCCAATGTGACAAACTCTCATAAACCTGCTCCTGTGGGACATGTCAAAATATGCATGTGTCACATGTTTTTGTGTGTCTGCCCCTATACACACATTCAGACCATATAGAATTACTTCTTTAGCACTCGTAAAGTACGTACTTATTCAAAATAAGTATCTACTCCAAAGAGTATGTTATTTCAGACACAGCCAGTGTGATGGGAGAAACTACGTTTTTGAAGCTCTGAATCAATTGAACCAATTGCTTTGTAAAATGATTCACAGTTTCGAAGTACTCTAAACACTTCAAGCTGGCGCCACCTGCTGGTCAAAACCGCGTAACTGCAACGGAAACTCAGCCAAAACCCTGTATAAAGAAACTGTTTACAAACCAATTACAAATTTTTTCATGAAAGTGTAATCTATTAAATTGAATTTACAAATAATTAAATACCATGAAATATGCAGGCTCTGTAAAATGTATGTTTTATTGATTTGTAGTCATTGTTTTGTGTGCTATTAGGTAGAGAGTTGGCAAACTGGGTCAATTAGAAGCAACTCATTTAACATTCTCTTTTTGTATTATTATACGCATACATATTAAAATTCATTAAATGAATTAATAATGAACCTACATTCTAAAACTGACCTGAGATCAGCTAAAACCCATGAGACACTTGTTTTGTTCACCAGATCACCGGTTGTTTTTGACGGGCTTCATCTCTTTATATCCCTCAGGTTCAAACTCAGGTGCGTCACACCAAGACCAGTTTTGACAAGCTGAAGAATGATGTGTGTCAGAAGGTTGATCTGCTCGGAGCCAGTCGCTGTAATCTGCTCTCACACGTCCTGACAACATATCAGGTGCAGCTTCTTGTAGCTTTATTATTGTTGTGAGCATTGTACATGTGATGTGTGCATTATTATTATTATATTTATATGATCTAAATGAATTGTTAATAAAGCCAGTTATCCACAATTTAGCAGAATGACGTCATGTCATAAAGATAAATATCTGTCTTTTCTGTGCTTCAGACCACATTGCTTCATTTCTGGGAGAAAACCTCTCACACCATGGCTGCTATTCATGAGAGCTTTAAAGGCTGCCAGACTCACGAGGCTTCAGCACTGGGGGTGAGAGCTTTCAAAAGAAACTGGTCTCATTATGTTTTATTTTCATATTTTTCGGGATGGATGTGTATATTTACTTATAGCTCTCATTTAGTGTTAAAGTTCCCATGTAGTCAATAATTGTATCCCCCTTAAAACTCATCTTTGATCGCCAAAATTACATATAAAAAAATGTGCCTTCATGTCTTAAAATACAGGAGCTTGAATGTAACTCAACACCCTTGCCCTTATTTAGTGTATAAGTGGTGAATATGCAAATTAGCCCCGCCTCCACTCTCTCACTGCCCATTTGGGTAACATTCTCATTCTCATTTAGTTTAAAGGAAGATTGTTTTATATTTGCATTTATTTAATTATTTAGCAGGTGATTTTATGTAAAGCATATTTCGGAAAAATGAGCTACCATTCAAAAGTTTGGTGTGTTTTTAAAGATATCCTTTTATTCAGCAAAAATGCATTAAATTGACAATAAAGAGTTTTATAATGTTACAAAACATTTCTATTTTAAATAAATAATAATAAAATAATCCTCAAATAAATATGTTTCCAACCTTGATCATAAAAGTAAATGTTTCTTGAGCAGCATATTAGAATGATTTCTGAAGGATCATGTGACACTGAAGACTGGGGTAATGATGCTGAAATAAACTCTGCTAGAATAAATTACATAAAATATATTAAAATAGAAAACTGTTATTTTAACTTGTAATAATATTTGACAATACTGCTGTTTTTATTGCTCATTTAAATGCAGCATTGGTGAGCATAGGAGACTTTAAGAGAAACCCTTGAATGGCGGTGAATGATACAGAGGGAGGTTTGAATTATGGAACATTGTCTTAATATCGTCTCTATCAGTAAACAATTGCTCTCATACTAGTGGGACAAGTTGTGTGGCAAGAATGGCAAAAAATGTTTGTTTTTTCATTATTAAATTGTCTTAAAGTATTAAATGCTTACCCATCTTCCATTGTTTGGACAAACATGATGTGATATAATGATGCATGTTCAACTAATATGTTAATCTGTTGTGCCTGATACTCCAGGGTTCAGATCAAGCTTCAAAGAAAAAGGTGAAGAAGAAAACAAAGGCAAAAGCAGAAGACGAGGAGACGAGTCAGAATACAGATGAAACGTAGGAGCTGTTCGGTCCTCATGTCCTCTCGTTTATCATGTGACATACACCTCTAATCGCTCGTCTCTTCTCTTTCAGGCTTGTTTCAATTGAACAAGAAACTTCGAGTAGTAACTTAGTACAAACAGGTAAAGCTTTCATACATACACGTGTTATACATGAGTATTATCCACAGGAATAACACAATAACTAATATTCATCCTTAAAGGGGACCTATAATGCCCTTTTCCAAAGTCCCAAAAAGGATTCTTTCAAAAACAAGCTTGAATGTTCAATAAACACATTATTTTTCACCTATTCCCTTGTTGCAGCTCCTCTCTTCCCAGTCTGTCAGTATCGCTTTGTTTAGTTCATGTCTCTATGAAGCCCCTCCTTCTAAAAAGCACACTGCGCTCTGATTGGTCGGCTGCACCAGTGTGTTGTGATTGGTCAACCCTTTTCATGCTCAAACAGCAACATTATACACTAAAGAAAGCCCAAAAGACCTGTTTAAAGCTTTAAACATGATCAATATAGCCTTTTTTTCTCTCTGTACTCTGCAAATACAGGCAATGAGGAGTGTTTCTCTGGCGGTCAGGAGAAGGATGGCTTGAGTTTGTTGGATGAGATTCTGGGCAGCAGTTCTCTGGAGGACAGGGGTTTCTCGCAGGAATGGCGTGAGGTGTTTGGGGAGGATGAACCGGCCGGCAGTAGCAGAGCAGAGATCCAGCCGTCTGAGGAAGAGTACGCCTTCTTCCTGCCTTCCAAACTACTCGACCAGAACATGAACGACCGTCAGTCCACGGCCTCAGGTGAACAGACATATCTGACTACTGGCAAAAGGTTGGTTTATTGGGTAACACTTTACTTGAAGTAATACCTACTATGGTAGTCAATAGGGAATGAGATCTGTTTGATTAAAACATTCTTCCAAATATCTTTCTTTGTGTATAGCAGAACAAATAAACACATAGAGGTTTGGAACAACTAGAGGATGAGTAAAAACTGACCGAATTTTCATTTTTGGGTGAACTAACCCTTTAAAAGAAGTTAAACAGTCATATGGTTGGCTTTGACATTGGCTGTCATGAGGCCATTATAACTGCCATGAATATTTTTCGTGACCTCAGCTACAGTGGTACTAATTGAATTTGTCATTAAAAAGTTATAATGGCTTTATGACAGCGAATGTAAAAACCAACCACCTGATAGTTTAATGTAATGTTAACCAATAAAGCTAGGTGATAAGTTTGATCATTAATCTTCTATTTCATGTTTATGACAGATTGTGTTGTCTTAGTAATGTCAAGTTGTCATCACTGACAGGTGATGATGTATTGGTTTATGTCAAGGTGTCATAACAAAGACATCTCAAACAATGTCATATTTGCATTAAAAATGTCATAACTGAGCGAATAACTTCCTTCGTATTCATAACATATGTCATGTCATGATTATGAAGGTGTCATGTTAGTCTTATGCACACGCCTTCAAGTAAAGTGTTACCATTTATTGTAGATGAGAACAGACTCTCTAACTGTAACTAAACAGTTCATCTGATGCAATAATAATTGATCATCGTGAAACAAAATATACACTACCCCTTTTTTATGTTTTTGAAAGATGCTCACCAAGGCTGTGTTTATTTGATGAAAAATACAGTAAAACGTGAAATATTTATTTTTAATTTAAAATGTAAAAACAATTTAAAAGAACTATTTCTTATGTTTTGCTTAGCTATAAATAACTATTTACTTACAGTATGTTTTGAAATGGGATTTAATCTTGTGATCAAAGCATCATTACTCCAGTCTTCTGTGTCACATGATCCTTCAGAAAAAAAAAAAAATGCTGTTAAACCTTATAAATGTCTTCACTGTGAATTGTGATCAATTTAATGCATCCTAGCTGAATAAAAGTATTAATTTCTTTAAATAAAAAAATAAAATGTTGCATACATTTACTGTACATTCTCTTTAACGTTGTCTTTATTCCAGGTTGGGCAACAGCCGTTCCACAGAATATCCCTGAAAGCTCATCCGTAGCGAGTCAAATCTCTTCCAAATCTGCAGTGAAAGGTAAATGATCAGAGTGTGCCAGACTAAACATGAATTGATCCATTGTGATGCATTGATCTGAAACAGAATTTAATACTTGCTTACAATCGAGTTCTCGAAAAGTTTGTGACTTTTTCTCATTTATGGTCACGAACATGCATGCAAAATTTCAACACGCTGATGTTTTTTGACAAATACATAATTTCTGTTACGTTTGTGATGTTAGTGGGTCAGTTTGACCCATATGACCACATCATTTAATGTACTAAGGCAACTGTACAGACGCAAAATAATAACATTTCTTGGTTGTATTTTGTTATTTTAGTTTTTTACTTACCTGTGAAGCTAGAAATACAGAAAAATATTTTGTCAGCCACATACTGTATGGTAAAAATGAGCCGTCATTTCTTGTTTCAATCTATGTGAAATACAATTAAACCTGTTGTTTTTCTTGAAATTGTGTGACCTTTTTCTCATTTAGGGTCATGAACATGAATGTAAAGTTTTTGACATGTTGTGTTCAGTTCACATTCATGTTTGTGATGTTCGTGGATCAATTTGACCCACATATTTAATTGTATTGAATCCAATTAGGGTCGATTTGACCCACATCATATACGTTATTCCCAGAAATCGAACAGTGCACGGGGGTTAAAAAAGAAATAGATACATAGAATTGAGACCAAATTTCAGATAGTTTCAGTGCAAATATTTACACCTTTAACTTTAGAATATATGCATCTTTTAATCACACATCTTTTCAATTACAGATACCTCAAAAGATCTCTCCGCTTGGTTCAATCTGTTTGCCGATTTGGATCCACTGTCAAACCCGGATGCAATTGGCCGAACCAATGGAAGACGAGCTACTGAATGCTTAGTCCGCCCTGGTACAGATGCACTTTTCTCGCTATTTCATACAAACGGCAGTTTATGCAAGAGGCCGACAGATCTGGACAGATGTCAAGTGATTGCTTTATTTGCCATTGCAGTAAACCTTAATTATTTAATGAAGAATTATTTGCTGCCAAAGGAAATGAATAATAATCACTCTGGCCTTGATTCCTTTTCTATTGCTAGTATTGTCAAGGCAGTTTGATTTGCCATAACATTGTGGATTTACTTGTTTTACATAAATGCATATAATAACATTTCTCAACATTATCAGCAACAGTAAGTAGTTTTTGGTTTGTATATTATGATATTGC